TATGTGGTATAAAAAAAACAACCCCAGTTAAAGAGGTGGAGCACTGGAAATGAAATTACTCACCCCCCAGTTGCTGATATAAAACCTGAGGGGGGAAATAGCAAATATGGTTGATCAGATGGGATAATTTAATAATTGGGTTCACTCACGTGGTTTTGAGCTTCGTTAGGACAGGCTCAGAACACACTGGCAGGCGTGTATTAGGGGTCACGATATGTCTTGATGTTCCTATTAATGAAATAATAAAAACCCGTATCTGATGTAGTATGTGTCAGGATTATATTGATCCAGCACACAGAATAGTATCACACCCTAGAACTAAGGGTAACATCTTACCGGGCCTTAGAATGGCCAGACTTAAAGTACCCGAGAATAGTCGACATGTAGCAAAAGCCAGGCATCATGGCAGAAAACCGCCGAGCGGCACTCCCCTAGATCTTCGGAAGGTAATTATCTCTGTTTTTGCCACATGGAGACGAAGGATATGCGACAATACTCCCAACTTGAAGACCGCCCACCGAGCAGGCAGGAAAAGGTTTGAGAGGAAATTTGGCGTGGAAAGAACGGATTTTGTGGCTAGCATGTATATCATAAGCAGGAACGCAAGAACGATCGGCAGGGTAATCCTGAGACGCGTTTCGCCGATTGAGAACGCCGACGCGGTGAAACGCATCTCGGAATTACCCACAGTATTTACTATTGTTATGCACTTTGTTATTTCATATATTGTAGTGTTTTACATTTAAATAACTCTTATTATCAACTTACTTTTTCTGTGTGCTCCAGATCCAGTTGTTCCATCAACTAAAGAAGGGTTTGTGTCCCCTATTTGACACTCAAGCTGTCACACTTAGAGCCAAGTTCATAGGCTCTAAATCAGGTGAGCGGTTTTTATTTATATGTTCCACAAATCAACTTTTATCAACAAATTACACCAGATACTGTTTTTTATTATTTTGTTAAAAAGAACATCAAGACATATCACCTAGAGGGTACGTGACCCCTGATACACACCTGACAGAGTGATCTGAGCCTGTCCTAACGAAGCTCAAAACCATGTGAGTGAACCCAATTATTAAATTATCTGATCACCTTTGATATACTACACCATATTTGCTATTTTCCCCCTTAGGTTTTATATCAGCTCCTGGGGGGTGAGTAATTTCATTTCCAGCACTCAACATCTTTAATTGGGGTTGTTTTTTTTTATACCACACAGTTGAACACATTTTATACAAAGGGAGTTATTTAACAAGTTTTTGGCAGACATAAATAATGTTGACACAAGAGGCAAGGAAGGCACTGTTCAATTGGACTTACAATCTAGGAGATAAACCTTTGATGGTTCTTTTCTGTTTTATATAAAGTCTGTGGCTCTTTGTGGATTTTATGAAGGATTGATGCACATACAGCAATTTGAAGATGAGTTTGCTATAGCCCCTGTCCCCTACACTCTACAAATGTATCATCCTACTCTTCAGCCCCAATTGCACCAAGCTAGAGCCCCTGCCTACCCCCCTCTACACTACATTTCCTATACCCACCTACACTACAGCTCCATCCACTCATGCTACAGCTTTGAACCCCCTCTTCACTACAGCTCCTATACCCACCTACACTACAGCTCCATCCTCCCAAGCTAAAGCCCTAATCTACTATTCAAGCACAAATGCTTCAGACCCTATTTTATCCCCTTTCACACAAAAACACACACTACACCAAAATGGCTTTATTCACACACTACTCCACAAACAGCCTCATCCTCGCATACATAACCTCACAAGCACCATCTCCTCACTGGCAATACTACAATCAGTATCCCAACAAGCATGCAGTACCACAAACAGCATCCTTACAAATTTAGAATACCACAAACCAGATCCCCACAAACACAAGATGCCACAAACAGAGTCCCCCCATATGTGCATCCCACAGGCATGCATCATCATAAGCAGCATCCTTACAAGCATGCAACTCCATGAGCAGCATTCCCACAAACATACAATTTTACAAGCAGCCTACACTTCAGTTGCGTAACTACCAGCTACACCGGGGCCTGCACGCTTTGGGGACCCATCGGGCAGCCTATGGACTTAGGACCAGCCGATTGGTATTATTTTTTAACAAGGCCTAAGTCAAGTGCCGTGGTCCTTTAAGAGCAAGACTGGGTCCCTGTGATATAGGCCTGTAACTTCCTACTAGCTTCTTATAGAGCGCACTGCGCGGGAAGAAGGGAGTGAGTAGGTGGCGGCAGTAGAGGAGGCACATGCAGCAGGGGTATGAGAGGCAGGAATGAGCTGCAGCAGACCCTCTTGCTCACTCCCATTAGCCTCAGCAAGCAGAGGACCCCAAGCAAGCGACCCTCCTGGACACGAAAATATAAAAATTATAACATGTATGTGCCTATGTATATCATATTGTGTGTGTGTGTGTCTGTGTGTATGTGTCAATGTTTGTGTGTGTCAGTGTGAGTGTGTTTGCCAGTGTGTATATTTGTGTGTCAGGGTGTGCATCTGTGTGTATGTATATGTCAGTGTGTATCTGTGTTGTACGGTGTGTGTCAATGTGCCTGTGTCTGTCAGTGTGCATATGTCAGTGTGTATCTGTGTGTTAATGGGTATGTATATCTGTGTAAGGATGTAATTATATACACACACAGACTTTAACTCAAACACCTGTACTACACACAAATGTACATCTGCATTTAAAAGCCAGCATTATATCCGAACACACTCCTGCAACCAAACGCAAACATTACATACGAATACACCCATGTGTTAAAACACTAAAATTATATACAAGCACATCTTTAATTAAACACCAACACTACACACAAAAGCACACCTGCATTTAAAAACACTACATACAAACACACCACAGCATTCTAATGGTAACTGCACATACAAATATGCCCCTATTTGTATACATATACTCTATACAAAACATGCTTACATTCAAACATGCAAACACTGCTCACAAATACAACCCTGCAAAGATGGGCAAATGTTAGATCCCTAGTTGGCATAGCAGGAGTAGCACGACAGATGGGGATCTACCTTTTGGCCACTCTTGCACTAGAGAGGGGTCCAAAAAACGTTCTGGCACCAGGGCCCGCTCTAGATCAGTTCTGCCACTGCAACACACATAACACCACAGGTGACCTACAATCAAATATGAAACATCACAAAGCACATACACAACACCCTCTACCAGCCATGTCTTATTTGTCCTATGGTGTTCCATTTGTGGGGATACCGCATACAGGAACTCAAATGAGCAAGTGTGGCATTTCCCCTATGCATGAGCTCTTAAACAGGACTCTTGGATGCAGTGGCGGATCCGGGGTGGGGCAACGGGGCAATGCCCCGAGAAATCCGACAGTCTCCCTCCCCTGCCAGCACATGCAGGTGCTAGCCCTGCAATGTGCCTGTGGACCGGAGGGGAGATCAGAGATCTCCCTCCCCGGTCCGCAGGCACCGTGCTGAGAGTCGGCAGGGGAGGGAGAGGGAGGAGAGAGGACCCGGGAGCTCAGGCTGCAGCTCCTCCGGGTCCTCCTCTAGCGAGATTTAGAGCGTTGCCGCAGTTACCGCGGCAACGCTCCAAATCTCGCGAGAGTGAACTCTAGCCCTGGAGCGCGGGCTAGAGTTCACTCCAACCACTGGGACCACCAGGGAATCCCCACTGGGACCACCAGGGAACAAAATATGTCCCCCCTCCTCCCAGTAAAGGTAAGAAGGGAGGGGGGACATAGGATATGTATTTATTTTAATTAAATTAAACAAAAATATATTATTAAAAAAAAAGCCACCCAACCCTGATCACACACACACATACATTGCCCCCAATACTGCACCCCAATACACACAAACTGCCCCCATACACACACACTGCCCCCCATACACACACACTGCCCCCATACACACACACTGCCCACCATACACACACACTGCCCACACTCACACATACACTGCAATACTCACACACACACACACTGCAACTGTTACACACACATACTGTCCCACACATACACTGCATCCCTGACATACACTGCCGCCCTCACTCACACACTACAACCTTCACACACACACACACACTGCACCCCTTACAAATTGCACCACTCACACACACCACTGCTCCTATGCCCTACTACAGCCCCATTTCCCAGCAGATCTCAGGTAAGTTGTCAAACTGTTCTTAAACGGTTTGACTACTTACTGTGGGAGGGGGTCCCGGCACTATTGACACCATAACCACTACACTGAGCTGTAGTGGTTATTGTGTCTGGATTATTTCTTTAAATAATCTACAAGTGCCCCTCCCGAGATCAGGCTCTGGATCCGCCACTGCTTGGATGTGCATTGGCTGCCGTGGAGGGGCACTAATTTGAGATGCTGAAAAGTTAATTTTAAAGGCCAATGTAGCTAAACTGGAAGCATAGTGAACTTGGAGAATACAGTTTACCTATTTCACAAAAAGTGAAATATGTTGAATTTGCAAGGCAATTTCCTTACAAACTCACCGCAGTTCACTTTTTAATAAAAAGACTATTTAGTATACCGGCCTACTCCTGTACAGCAGATATTTTTGTTTTAAAATGAATGTGGCCCATGAACATGTTTTGTTGTTGTTGTTGTTATTATTATGATGATTATGGGACTTGTCCGTGACCTTGTTACATCTCTGTACTTGGAAGTGAAAATCAACTTTTGTTCATTACATACTCTAAAATTTGGAGCAGAAAATTATGGTCAAATGTTTGAGTAAAAAGCACATCACTGAAATACCAACAAGATGGAAATACTATTTTCAGAGCAAAACTCACTTACTCAATTTTTGCTTAAACCAAGATGTAACTAAGGCTGTTAGTTTGGTTTTCCTCTCTCAGTTAAGTGTATCAGTAGCTATGGCCAGTAACAGTATTGGGGATTTATACTGGTTTATTCCTGCAGCCAATACAATACTAAATTGTAACATTTACTTCTTTTCATTTTTGCTGTGCGGGAGGAGGAAGGAAATAACCAAATATTCAATGCTTCCATGGTGATTGATCAGGAAAAGTAAATTACAGTAAGTATAGAAACAATGTTTTATTTTTATTTTTTTGCAAACGTCCGGAATCACTGTACTTTAATGTTCAGATCATAAGATTTTTAGTTGTGCACTGTATCGGTTGTACAAATGGTGTAAGAGACGTAGTGCTGGGAATTAGAAAAAAGAACATTAATTGTCATTTGCCATGGATTTTACATGGAAATTAAATATTTTTTTGCGTTCTGGGTAGTGTGTCTTTTACATGTAAGGAGTTAAAGGAACACTATGGGGTCAGGAACACAGACATGTATTCCTGACCCTATAGTGTTAAGATCCCCCTGGCCCCTCTTGCCTCTTGCTATAGTACTTGTATTTTTTAATTTATTTTTTAATGTCTGCAGCTGCTGCCTCTGCCTGACCTGCCTGCTGTCTGCTGACATGTTCAGAAGTGGTGGTGGTGGTGGTCTGAGCCCATCACAATGCTTCCCCATAGGGTTGGCTAAAACTGTTAAGGAGGCAGATCAGGGGCAGAGCCATCACAAGTCAAACACAGGCCTGGCCAATCAGCATCTCCTCACAGAAATGAATTGAATTAATGTATCTCTGAAGTGGAAATCAATTCAATTAATTGATTATTCTCTGTGTATCTGCCCCTGGACAAATTAAGAAACAATGCGTGCACGCTCCCTGAAGTAATTCACACCAGACACAGGTTTCAGGTTGATGAATAACTTGAGGAATGTTTATTCAGAGGGGACGGCAGGTCCCTTTTAAAGCAAAATTACATCATAAGCATTGTTTGAGATAACATGAAATAATACTTTATTAATTGGTTAGGTGTTAAGTGGTTTCCCTAATGCTCTGCCTACTAAGGGTGATGTCACTGAGACCATGAGGGTCTCCCCCAGATTCCAGCGCCATCTTGTTACACGAGGGAGTTAGTCGGTGTTATAGGGAGGGAGGGGTTAGAAGCTTCTAGTGGCCATTTTGTCTAAATATGTGTTAATAGCTTATGCACTGATTTCAGTTAAATGAGTAAATAGGCATTTTACTAACTAAAAATATGTCAATATCTCATTTCCACAACAGTCCCCCCTTAAAATGGCTATTTACCATAACAACTGCTACTGTCCCTAACATGTCCCTAGCTGCCTGCAGCTCATCTGTTTTAACAAGCATCGAACACTTCACTCCGTGGGTAACCCGCAGCAGCTAGTCCACCACATCTCCGCACGTGAGACTTGCCTGTAGAGACAGACGCTTTCCCTATGCTATCCCTTACAGAAATGCAGTTGTCTGTCTAAATTGGTGGGATTGGAGAGGTGTATGTGGTGTGTCACATTCTAGGTCAGTGACGTCCTGGTGTAGGAAAGTAGGGGTTACGTTGTCTATAGTCTTCCCTACTGTCTTCTGTAAGTATTTTTGTATGCAAGGAAGTACACAACAGGTTAAGAATAGGAAGATGATAATCATTATGAGAACTGCTGTCCCAACCTGGAATAGGGTTCTCTGCCAACCATTCATCCATCCAAACCATCTGTCCCATGTGTCAGTGACCCCTGAGTTCTTTTTCAGTTCATCTGAAAGGCTATCTAATTTCTCTATTGCCATAGTCACTTTACCATTGGGCCCAGTGTTATCTGGAATAAATGTGCAGCATGTCATGGTCTCGGGGAGGATTTTACATACACCCCCCTTTTCTGCTAAGATCATATCCAGTGCCATTCTATTTCGAAATGTCATTTGGGTGGTAGCTTGCAGCTGTTCTGCTAGGCCCTGTAGGGCATCTCTAGTATAGTTAACAAACCGCTGCTGATTATAAGATATAATTAATCCAATTGACATTCTTATTAGCTGTAATCATTGGAATCAAAGATTCAAACCCGGCTGACACTTCATCCCTTGCTTTAAATTCGTTGGGCACCCCCCTTGGCACACCAATGGCATCAATATAAACATGTGGATCAAAGCTACCACGGATTGGGGCTTCCCTTTTGACTCTGGAGTGTGTGTGCGTGGGATCTAACACATTGTGATGGCCATCCGGGATAATGTGGATAGGCATTATGGCTTTAGTTAGTGTACATTCTCCCCACCATAGCCCCGTTAGTTGGGATCTCAGTTGCTTATCACCGCACAGCCAATATATGTCCCCGACTGTTTTTGCATGATTCATTAACAGTGCTGTGGGTGGATTATGATAGGTGGAGCAATAACCAGATGGGAATTTGCCCATGAATGTACCTGTGTTCTTAGGTATTGAATAACAAGTGTAGTTACCTGGGTATACAGTGACTCCATCAGGTGGTCTAACGTGCCCCTGGATGATTAGGTAGACCTTTTTCCATGACTCACACGTTGAGGAGTTAGTGGTGGACTGTGCATAAAGACTCAAGACACATAATTCAACATCAGGAAGTAGGTTTAAAGGCCTGGCTCCCCCACATACATAACAGTTAGTCTTATTGTGTGAGTTAGCATTATATCTCATCCATTCCAGCCATAAGTTAGGGTCTGAGAACCCAGTTTCTGCTGCCATCGTGTTTTCGAAAGTAGGATTAGCAATAGCCACCATATCATGTAAAGTCTTGATATGTGGTTTAAGTGTGTTGACAGTCATGTGTGTAGTTCCTACCCAGTCAGGTGAAGTAAGCATGTCTTGTAGGTAGAATGTCCCCAACTTGTTGTATGAGCCACCACCCCTCCAGTACATACCCATTACATATTCCCCCGCATCCTTTGGACTGGGATGCGCTATGTTCAGAGTGAGTTTGATGGGGGTTGACCCAATAGGTTTACTTAAGGTCATTCTGGAGAGTAGGGGCTTCCCGTCTTTGTCAATTCTGTCTAGGGCACTCTGGGGTTTATAGCCCCATGACCTACCCGTTTTTCACCCAGCCGCCTTCCAAGAGCTACAATGATGTCCCCATGACCCCCCTGTTACACAAATATATGGGTCCTTCTTACTGGGTATGTCCTTGTATATAGCAGCATATTGTGTTTGTGGGAAGGTGCAAGTAACAATATCACAGTAATCAAAATAAAAGGTAGCTACATCTGTGTTTGAGGAATTGTACCAAAAAGTGTAAACATGGTTATCTTTGGTTATCACCACTTGCTGTAAGATTGGCCACTGGGAAGGCTTCTGGCCATCCTGAGAACATGTCCACAATGACTAATGCGTATTCATAGCGTCCACTCTTTGGCATCTGGATGTGGTCAATCTGTATCCTCTGAAAAGGGTATTGTGGTTTGGCCAAGTGGTTGGGTGCAGTTTTAACGATCTTCCCAGGGTTACATTTAGCACAAACTGCACAGGATCTACAATAGTTCTGTGTTAGAGTAGTAATACCCGGTACTTTAAAGTATTTGTCAATCAAAGAATTCATCAGATGTTTTGACAAATGGGCAGGTCCATGGGCCCATTGGACAACAGCTGGATACATATTCTTGGGTAGACAGAACTTAAGGTTGATAGTGTAAACATCATCTTGGAGAATGGCCCCCCTGCTCTTCCAACTCTGTTTTTCTTGGGGGGTCGCAGCAGCTTGTTGTTCCTTTAAGAGTCTGAGATCTGTAGGCAATGTTTGCATAGTATAAATGGGTGTTGTTTCAGTGGCCACTCTTCTGTCCACTTTCCACCCTTGTCGTGCTGCATCCTTGGCGGCTTGATCAGCCAAGTGGTTGCCTCGTGCTTCTTCTGAATTCAGCCTCCCATGGGCTTTCACTTTGAGCACTGCCACTTCTGCTGGGAGTATTAGGGCATCCATTAGTTCTTCAATGGCTATGCCATGTTTTACTGGAGTACCTCTGGTTTTCCAAATTAGGCCAAAATCATGTGCCACTCCCAGGGCATATCTTGATTCTGTATAAATGTTGACACGTAGGCCTTCAGATAGCTTACAGGCCACCATGAGGGCTGTTAGCTCGGCTTCCTGAGCTGATTTGGTTGGTGGAAGTGCGGCTGCCTGTAATACCTGACATTCTGTGGTAACTGCATATCCAGTGTGGTATTGCCCTTGCTCATCAGCAAATCTGGAACCATCCACAAACAGTATCTTGTCTGGATTAGGTAGAGCAGTCTCATGTACGGTTGGTAAATGGGTAGTTTCCATCTTCATCTGTTCAAAGCAATCATGGGGGGCTTCGGAATCTTGTTCCATGGGAGGGAGATCTTCACAGATCTCTGTGTGGTATCGAGGATATCCAACTGTGCTGCAGTTGATGATCTTCTTAGTTACTTCCAGTGATTCAAGCTGTTCTTGGGTTATTGCACTCCAGGATTTGGCCATTGGGCCTAGATCTTTCCATGAGAAATCAGGGGACTTGGTGAAGGATATGTGTGGGACAGCTATCTCCCAATGGCGGTAGAGGTGGGATACTTCTGTTGGAAGGTGCACTAGCAGGACCATGTTGCCTCTGGAGTCCCATAACAAGTCTGTCAGTGTGATGTGAATTTCCACAAGTCGAAATAGTTCTTCTTCATAATCCACATCAGGGCCTGGGTTGTCTTTGAACCACAGGGTATAGTGTAACAAGTTCTCTGGTTGCACATCATGTGGAGTTGCAAGAGTAGGTAATTGGAATTCTATCCGAGCATCTGGGTTGATGTCCAGGCTGTACCAGTACTGTGCCACTCCCCCCTTGGGAAGTGGCAGAAGAGTGGCCGGGTTCAGTGAGTAGCAGCGTTGTAAAGTAAGAAGAGTGGCCGGGTTCAGTGAGTAGCAGCGTTGTAAAGTAACGTTTTCAGGCAGTAGTAAAGAAGTTTGCAAATGCAGATGACGTTGAGAAGAGAGATGCCTTGGTTGGGTCTGTTGAAGAATTGCAGAAATATCATGTGGAGCCAAGACAGTCAGAGCTTTGGTTAGCCCATTATCTGACAACAACCCTTCTTTGTCCACAATCAACTTCCTCCCAAACTCAGGCTGTAACCTACCACTAGGTGACATTTGAAAACCACAGATCTTAGCAATTTTCTTGATCTTTAACATTGCCTCCTTCCCCGCCCTTTCCTTCACAATATCACAAGCTAAAAACCCTTTAGCTGGTCTAGCATGTTCTTGTCCCATCTTGACCAAGCAAGGTCTGCCAAGTAAAGGGGACCGGGTGAGCGGGAAGAAAAAGTAGGAAAGTCTACAGTGCTCGACTGCCACGGGGGACCCGTGCGTCTTCCCAAAACGTAGACTAGTCACAATGGTCCGTGCACCCGAGATGGTGACCACGGATCGGAGCGGGCGAGCGTGGGTGACTAACACAGCTCTGGGCAACAGACACAGGACAGATACAGAACAAGGGAAAAGATAAATGTGGCAACACTAAGCACTAGACATTTACAAAAATCACACACATAGAAATGAGTGTACACTCCAGAATCAAGGACAAACCACACAACAAACACACACCAAGGGTACCCACGCTGTAACAACAATTGAACAAAATCCACAAAATGACAGAGAGTAATATGGCCATGTACATAATAAAGCAGACAATGGAAATCAAAGATCAATAACCCCAGCCTCTCTCTCCAGGCTGTAACCCTGTACAGTAAAATCCCACCTTCTAACAGATGATCCACAATCTTTCACCGGCCGTCTATTATATCCCAGCCCAGCTACCTGGGTGGTCCCCAGCCCTTCACCGGCTGCCTGCAGTTTCCCTACCCTATCACACGGGTGGTCCACAGCGCTGCTAACAACAACCCAGCCCTTTTACTCGGGTGGTCCCCAGCCCCTCACCGGCTGCTCACAACTCCCACCTGCCAGGCGGTCTGTCTAAAAACTATGAGAGAACACTCACACCGGCCGTCACACACATTCATGCAAATTCACAGGAGGCAGATAGACAATCGACAGGTTCGCTTTAAATAGGCACCGGATAAGATATTACCTGTCTAGTAGCCTTCTGGATGCCGAAAGTGGACGCGGAGGCAGACCGACACAAAACAGGAGTATACAGACAACGGCTGTATATTGGAGGTGATCAGGCTCCAGGTGTCCCACTTTCTGGAGGTCCGGTCTGGTCCGTTGGTTTCCAGCCCTCCGAGCCGGCAAATCCGGTGCCCCACGTTGGGCGCCAATTGAAGTGGAAATCAATTCAATTAATTGATTATTCTCTGTGTATCTGCCCCTGGCCAAATTAAGAAACAATGCGTGCATGCTCCCTGAAGTAATTCACACCAGACACAGGTTTCAGGTTGATGAATAACTTGAGGAATGTTTATTCAGAGGGGACGGCAGGTCCCTTTTAAAGCAAAATTACATCATAAGCATTGTCAGAGATAACATGAAATAATACTTTATTAATTGGTTAGGTGTTAAGTGGTTTCCCTAATGCTCTGCCTACTAAGGGTGATGTCACTGAGTCCATGAGGGTCTCCCCCAGATTCCAGCGCCATCTTGTTACACGAGGTAGTTAGTCGGTGTTATAGGGAGGGAGGGGTTAGAAGCTTCTAGTGGCCATTGTGTCTAAATATGTGTTAATAGCTTATGCACTGATTTCAGTTAAATGAGTAAATAGGCATTTTACTAACTAAAAATATGTCAATATCTCATTTCCACAACAATCTCTATGAGTAAAGTGTCTACATGCAGAGGGTGGAGACACTGAATGGCAGTATTGCACAGTGTGCAGCACTGCCCCAGGAAGCACCTTTTGTAGCAATCTGAGGAGTGGCCAGTGGAGTTATCACTAGGCTGTAATTTAAACATTGCATTTTCTCTGAAAATACAGTATTTACTACAAAAAAGCCTGAAGGGAATGATTCTATTCACCAGAACAAATACTACAAGATGTAGTTGTTCTGGTGACTAGAGTGTCAAAACAAGTAATTTTTTTTAATCAACATCTTCTTAAAATTTATTAATCTCTTAACACCAAGAATAGAAAGAATAATGCATGAACTTAAAGACAAACTTGTGTAAATATATAGATGAAAATTCTGTTTGGTTCTAAGTTTGTTTACCAGTAAAAGTTTAACAGTAAAACATGCTAGAATTCAAATTATTGGTATGATATTTTTTTTTGTTTTGTTATGTAAGACATAAATAGCAGAATATGATAGTGATCTTTAGAGATTCAGTACAAATGAGTTTTTCTATCCCTTCTTCTCCATTGCTGTTTTCCATTTTTAATTTGTAGCCCTATTTTTTGAAGATCAACGGTTCACCAACAGATTAATGGCTTTTATGACTATGGCAGATAAAAAGGATCCACAAAATGATGAGAAAAAACGTAAAAAGGTATCTTGGTATTATATAAACACTTATATATGGAAAATATATGTGTTTGTTGGTTTATGTATCAGCAGGGTTAGTCACTAAAGTGTGAATTTGTTAGGAATTCAAATGGAATTTCAAATTATAAGCCAAAACAGCCAAATTTAAAACATTCTCAAAATTAGAGAATGTTGGCTGTTTTCACTTAAATTTTTAAGTTCACTTGGAAATGCTGACAATTTACACTTTAATCACACCTGACTAGCATACACAATTGTTTAGTACAATTCGATTTTTGGGGGGAATTCAAAGTAAATTTCAGATTTCAGGTCAAAGTAGCTGAAGTGGGAGCACAGGTGAGCTACCTGGTACATACTGTATATTTCCCCAGTAGCCCACATGAACTGAAAAAAGGCTCATTATAAAAACAAATACTTTGGAAAAAGAAAGCTTTAGACAGTACATAAGTACATAGTATCCTTTATCTTGCAATATTTCATACAGGGTTTAAAATTATATGATAAAAGCAAAAATGATTTATTTATTTTTTACATACTGTAGGTGTGACAAAAATATATAAATATAAATGGTCAAATTCCTTGCTTATAGGTATTTGTAAAGATCCTAAAGGCATTATTAGCAGTACAGCTTACTATAAAATGACAACAGAATGTAAAAAGAATTGATTGCATTTGAGCATAATGCTCAATACAGCATAATACACCACATCCAGTTAAATCATAGATTTCTAAAATAAAGGTATTTAAAGCTGCTATACCACGCTTTTGCAATCTTTGGTTAGCTAATGTGACTCTAGGAATTATATCACCTATTGCAACTTCCTGTACTGCTTGAAAGCAGGAGGTGATTTTACATTTTCAGCAACTTTACAGGCAAACTAGTGGCTTCTGGAAGATAAATACATTTTTTCTGCAGGCTGGTAATCATAACTAGAGCATAAATGTAGATGAGGGAAGCTTTATGGGCTAGATTTAATACTGTAAAATACATTGAAATACAAATGTTTATGCTCTATTGGGGTATTATAGAAGTTAAGGGGTTGCCTGCAAGTGACCTAAAAGTTTGCTTAAAGGTGGACACTTGTGAAAAATACTGTTTACATGTATTTAATCAGTACAACTCTACAGAATATACTACACATTGGCAATCCTAGTGTCTTGTGATTCATCATCCAGTAACACATGCAACTTATTTATCCTTACTGATTTGTCATTGATGGAAATAATAATTTTTCCTTTTGTATTTTCACAGCGCAAAGGATGTTGCTGTGCGTGCTGCACTAGTTGCTGCTTCTGTTGCATTGAGTTTCTAAGTGGATTCATTTTGCTGTTGATAGTAGCAGGCCTAGTCCTTTGTGCAAGGATCTTTTTGGGTAAGAATAACTAAAATATATTCTTAGTATGCTAGCATTTATATCTACTATATCCTTCTACTACACAGCATACTGGACAGTATTTACTAAATGGTACGAATGCAGGAATCTTCCTAAAAGTAGACGTTCTTTACATGTTCATCAACTATTTGCTGCTGTTATATTGATAACTGAAATATATAATACGGATTATTAACAAATCTCTGAGTCAAACTAATATTATTGGTTATTAAATAATATAAACAAACAGAAACCCATATTTCTTATGATGATGCCCATAAGCATTTTGTACTTTTTAATATTGTAGTATAAAATAAAATGAAGTTGTGAAAAGGTGTAAGTCAAAAAGGCTCAGTAAAAATGCTCAGTAAATGTTTGAACCAATAAAGACCCACATGTTTGTGCACAAAGCTGGAAACTGTACAAATGTGATGAGTTTCATGGTCTACATAAGAAAGGGGTATATTTGGGCATGGTGGAAAATGTTGTTTTTTCCTGAGTACATTTGGACGAAAAAAACATTTTTTTTCAGGTAAACCATATTTCTGACAATAATTTATTAAGTTCAAGTGAAATTCGCCCAATATTTTTAGTTCGGTGTTCTCTTAATTTTGTTTGAAATAAGTTTATTGGTGCACAAGAAAAGCAGTCATCCCACGCAGGGGAGATAAATGGATCATAATAAGCTTTCGATATAGGCATATGCCACAGAGTGCATTTTATATCGACTGAGAGCAGTCAAAGCCTAGTAAGGCAGAAAGGTTAGATTATGTGAACACAAGTAACATAACTAATGTTAAGCAAATGACATATTGCATATCCGGTCCAACAGTAGCAAGAAGAGATCATTCTCTGCATCTTATTTTGCTGTCAGCATATGTTAGCCGTACAATGTTTAGGTAAATCTGAACCGAGTTATTTGCACTATTGTCTACGCTGGATTATAACGGGTCCAGTTAAATAATGCCTATTCTCAACTGTTTTTGATTAAACATTATGCAGCAACCCATTAGTGAGTCCCCATATGCTGGCAGGGAGGGGTTAAACTATGGTATAACACAAGGGCTCATCATTAGAAAATCAGAGACAGGGTTAGTAATTCACTCTGAGATGTTAACATGACATTCAATGATTAGATAATGGGGGATTAGGGGCTTAATTGGTTGCTGTGTATCTTCCTCTCCCCACGTTTAACAGGGTAGTATGTTGTAAGTCTTTCATTCGTGCCCTCAGGTAGGAGGTTATCGGTGTCCCTAAGATTGGACCCACAGAAACTGTACGTGCGAGATTACAAACACAACTGAAAAATATGCAATGAACGGTTAAACTGTAAACATGCTGTTCCGTAACATAGGGTAATATGATGGGGGTATGAACCTCCGGCTATAGAGCCTCGAAATATTACAATTATTAATGAATATTGATATACGAATTATAGCAGCACAGGGTTTTATATTAGTCGGTCGAGGGCCGACTATGGCACAGCAGCGATATGTCCCTCAGTCCACGGGTCTCCAGCTCTCTCCCCCAGGCAGGTCTCAGCCCGCCAGTTGGACTCTCCTTGGCTCTGTGGGCACTCAGAAGCAGGTCTAGTCCGCATGACCCCCACACCTAGAGTCTGCGAACCGTCTGCCTCCTGCACCTCCCCAAAACCTCTCAAGTCTCCGTGGAGCGTGTGCCCCCATGTCTCTCCTGGCGCCGGCCACACTCTTGGGGGTGGTGCACGCCAGTCTCGGCCACCGGTCCGCCGGGAGGCCCGCCCCCACCTGGTCCACAGGGCTCACAGCGCCAGGGACAAGTCCCTCCGGGATCTCGGAGGCCCGGGCACCTACTCCTCTTGCGGGCTGGTTGCCGGAGAATCCATCCGGAGGTCGGTAGCGCCGAAGGCTACACGCTCTGTCCAAGGCGGTCCCCACGTTAGGTGAGTATTTTCCACTGTGTCCCTTCTCAGAGCCGTCGGGTGTTTAATGAAAGGGGTTTAAAACAGCCGTGTGCATATATCCACCGCTGTGGCTGTCCCCATGTCTGTTTGGACCAGTCTTCTGACAGGCTGTTCCGCCTGCAGCCTTTGCCAGTGTAGGCGGTCGGCACAACACCAGCCCGGGGACTCCCGTCGCCATGTGGGCCGCCGCCATGAGGTCGGGATTACCCCCGCCGACCATGAGGGGGGGGAGCGGGGCCGCACCGCCGGCAGGCACCGGCCGTGTTAAGTCAGGGCCCCTTCGCGCTGACCGCCCTGCTCAGTTGCCGCTTGAGGCTCCATATTGTGTGTAGGCCGGAGACATCAGCACCCACCTTCCATCTTGCTGTTGGTGGTTATTGGGTGTCTTTCTGATGCTAGGGTTTTGCTCTGCTCCGGTACCGCGGAGATGTCCACTTTGGGGTGTTCAACACACCTTTTTAGTGCGTTTTTCCCGTGCTCGGATCAGGAGCTAAGGTTCATGGCTGCCAGCCGGCCCGGCGGCCCGGCCCCGCCCCCGGTGTTCTCTTAATTTTGGTCTATATGTTTTTTTCGGTAGATAGCTCCCAAGTATGGTACCCTAATGTGGAATTTCTATTGTGTATATTTAAGAATACCAAATTAGGGAGCTGTTTAGTAGATGGCTCCCTTTTGGTATCCTTAAAAATGGCAATCACACATAAGAATACCATATTAGGGGGTTATATATTGATCTACTAAGTACTAGCTGCTGAAAGATCCAGGCTTTAAAAAAAAGCCCTTTTTACATAATGACCCTTATGTGAGATTTCTGTTTAGTAGGAGGCTCCCTAATTTGGTACCCTTTTATGGGATTAACAGTATTTAAATATACCAAATTAGGCAGTTGTTTAGTAGCTCTTTTCTTAATTCTGCTCTCATCTATTTAGTATATAACTCTGTAAATAAAATTGGTAGCTTTCTACTGAACACAATGGTTTCCTATTTAGTACTCTTAAATATCGTAATCCCACATAAGGTTACCAATTTAATGAATTTACAAGAATAAACTTAAAATAATGAAGAATAAATTGTGCATGGACGAATTTAGTTGACTGTGCAATTAGCTTATTCTTCCATTGTGCCATTCAGAGAGTCGGAATTTGGAGCAGATTTTTGTCTGTTTGTCTGAATTTTGATTCCTCTGAAATCTAATGCCCAAGTCTAGAAAGGGGCAAAATCTTAGGATCACACAGGCTTTTATCTATTCATGAAACTGAATCTGTAGTGGAACATTTCAACAAGGTCACTGTGCCACAAGTAACAATATAATTGGCCTAGAGCATCCTTCGATGGTTTTTTGCCTACGTAAAAGAAGATATTAAAGTCTTCAAAATGTTAAAAGGCTTCAAAATGTAGTGATCTTGCTGCATAATAATATCTTAAAGTGAGATTGGTTTGATGTAATCAGCTTATGAAGATATGGTTCTGTGTTTTAAGGCTTTAAGTGTCTCTAAAGCAAAATACTTCAAGTTGGTCAATATCTATTCTTTTTTTTAATTATTCTTAGTTTTTTGTCTTGGATCATAGTCGCAGCTTAAAACAATACATAACATGAACATGTGAGAGATAAAAATAACAGCCAGTTGTACTCATTAAACAGATCATCTGTCACATTGTGGCAAGGGGCCATGGGCCAAGGGTTTTGTGTTTTTTAGTACTGGTGGTGCCTACATGTGGTCTAATGTCTCTCACACCTAGGATTACAGTGACGTTCCCGGTGGCACCAATAGTGTGGGCTAGTTATAGGCGGGGGAGGTGGCAGAGAAGATGGTAGTTGAAGTACTTGGTCTTCCTAGGGCAGCTTAGGCTACGTTTTATCAAAGGATGGGGCGCATATGCCTTGGTCTAATGCTACATAGATGTACCCTTTTACCCCGGGTCTGGGGGAGAGGAGGGTTGACCAGTTTGTGCAGGGAGTTAGAGGGAGCTACTTAAGGTAATGCTTGGTGGTACATTAAGTGGCTCGCAGTGGTGAGCGTTACCATGAGGGAGTAAACATTATAACATTAAAACATTAAAACATGCATTCAAAGTTGAACAGTAAAGAATTCAGTTCTGCACAGATCAGGAGGACTGAAAGCAGGTTGGTGCTTGTGACTGGTTCCCATCATGTAGTGATCGCTGCATACAGGGAGTGCAGAATTATTAGGCAAGTTGTATTTTTGAGGATTAATTTTATTATTGAACAACAACCATGTTCTCAATGAACCCAAAAAACTCATTAATATCAAAGCTGAATATTTTTGGAAGTAGTTTTAGTTTGTTTTTAGTTATAGCTATGTTAGGGGGATATCTGTGTGTGCAGGTGACTATTACTGTGCATAATTATTAGGCAACTTAACAAAAAACAAATATATACCCATTTCAATTATTTATTATTACCAGTGAAACCAATATAACAACTCAACATTCACAAATATACATTTCTGACATTCAAAAACAAAACAAAAACAAATCAGTGACCAATATAGCCACCTTTCTTTGCAAGGACACTCAAAAGCCTGCCATCCATGGATTCTGTCAGTGTTTTGATCTGTTCACCATCAACATTGCGTGCAGCAGCAACCACAGCCTCCCAGACACTGTTCAGAGAGGTGTACTGTTTTCCCTCCTTGTAAATCTCACATTTGATGATGGACCACAGGTTCTCAATGGGGTTCAGATCAGGTGAACAAGGAGGCCATGTCATTAGATTTTCTTCTTTTATACCCTTTCTTGCCAGCCACGCTGTGGAGTACTTGGACGCGTGTGATGGAGCATTGTCCTGCATGAAAATCATGTTTTTCTTGAAGGATGCAGACTTCTTCCTGTACCACTGCTTGAAGAAGGTGTCTTCCAGGAACTGGCAGTAGGACTGGGAGTTGAGCTTGACTCCATCCTCAACCCGAAAAGGCCCCACAAGCTCATCTTTGATGATACCAGCCCAAACCAGTACTCCACCTCCACCTTGCTGGCGTCTGAGTCGGACTGGAGCTCTCTGCCCTTTACCAATCCAGCCACGGGCCCATCCATCTGGCCCATCAAGACTCACTCTCATTTCATCAGTCCATAAAACCTTAGAAAAATCAGTCTTGAGATATTTCTTGGCCCAGTCTTGACGTTTCAGCTTGTGTGTCTTGTTCAGTGGTGGTCGTCTTTCAGCCTTTCTTACCTTGGCCATGTCTCTGAGTATTGCACACCTTGTGCTTTTGGGCACTCCAGTGATGTTGCAGCTCTGAAATATGGCCAAACTGGTGGCAAGTGGCATCCTGCACAGCGCACAGCTGACTTTTCTCAGTTCATGGGCAGTTATTTTGCGCCTTGGTTTTTCCACACGCTTCTTGCGACCCCTGTTGACTATTTTGAATGAAACGCTTTATTGTTCGATGATCACGCTTCAGAAGCTTTGCAATTTTAAGAGTGCTGCATCCCTCTGCAAGATATCTCACTATTTTTGACTTTTCTGAGCCTGTCAAGTCCTTCTTTGACCCATTTTGCCAAAGGAAAGGAAGTTGCCTAATAATTATGCACACCTGATATAGGGTGCTGATGTCATTAGACCACACCCCTTCTCATTACAGAGATGCACATCACCTAATATGCTTAATTGGTAGTAGGCTTTCGAGCCTATACAGCTTGGAGTAAGACAACATGCATAAAGAGGATGATGTGGTCAAAATACTCATTTGCCTAATAATTCTGCACTCCCTGTAGGCCTCTGTCCCAGCCGCTGGAGAACGAACGGGATCACCTTAGCAGGGTCCCAGGTGCAAGGTGCCGCCAGGGCTAGGGAGTTCCGTTGAAGCCCCAAGGTAGGCAGCAGATCCTTTCCCCTTTGCATGTCCTGTATGGTGGAGGAAGAGTCGCTGTAGTGGACCAGAAGTGTTCGAGTCCCCTTCCAGTTGTATTTGATGTTGTGCTAGCGTAAGAGAGTCATGAAGGGCTGGAGTAAGCACCGCCATGCTAGTGTTGACTTAGGTCCACATAAAACGAAAGCTGCATGTTCGCAATAGGTAGGGCGAGTGGTTTTGTGTTGCTTGTATCACTGCTGAGTTGTCTTTGTGGGTTTGGAAGTGCATCAGGAGATCTCTCGATGCCGATGTTGGGGCCTTGGCTGGTCTTGGCAGGTGAAACATCCCCTCTATGGTCACATGCTTAGCCAGCTTGGGAGGCAGGAGGGCCTGCATGAGTCGCCTTACCAAGTGTGGTATTTCGGCATCCGGTATCTCTTCTCCGATACCTCTTATCTTGACATTCAGGCTGCTCCTCTGGTCCTCCAGTGCCGCGCAGCGCTGGTTATATTTAAGGTGCTGCTGCTGCAAATCTTGCACTGCTTGCTGCAGGATCTGGGTCTGTTTTGTGTTATGGCGGGAATCATCCTCTAGGGTACCCAAGCGGCCTGTCAAACCCTGCAGCTCCTTATGGATTTCGGCCATGTCGGTCGGTATGGTGAGCTGAAGCCCCGCCAGCAGTTTCTTCATGACCGTTTTGGTCACCGGAGATGAGTCTGGCTGTGGAGGAGTCTGGAGAGGTGCCGTCATGACAGGTAAGTGCTCCGCATCCACTCCTACTAGGAAATCTTTTGAGACATCTGAGCATTCGTCAGTGTAGGCGGCCATGTTTGGGCCAATTGCTCTGTGCGCTTGTCTCCAAAGATCTCCAATACTCATGCTTTGCGGTTTGTCGGGCTTGGGCTTTTTTGTTTTTTGGCCCATTTTGCTGCCAGCAGTCTGTGGGTCTGCTTGGTGCCATTTTCGCTAGGTTTGGGCTGTGAAAGTGGGCCCCTGGGTGTTGGTTTGGTGCAGAGCTCGGACGGCATGCGACCATTCAGGTCAGTTGCTTGACTCCGCTCCCCATCTATTCTTTTTTTAAACAAGCTAAGTCCTAAATAGCACTAATGACTCCTTTAACCAGTACCAGGTAACAACACAGAAGAGGGGAGCTATAAACACTCCATAAAGGTATACTGTAAATAATTATATAACAGGCTCATTTAATTCTGCAAATAGTTGTATCAGTGTTGACACCATATTTCATTAGGGTGTATACACCCACAGATTTATTGATTACTCATTTAAAATGCCATACATTTATATTGATAGAACAAATTAAAATGTAATTAGTTTGTAAACTATCAGCTAAATGATAGTAATAAAAAAAAACACACTTAAAATATGTTGTATATGATCCGGCTTGTTCCGGGGCAATCTGTGTTGTGGTGTTAGCTCTATGGGGCCGACCAGGGAGCTGCCAGTTGAGCTACAGGCAAGTATAGAATTTCAGTAAAGCTCTTACTAACCGTATTTGCTTAGCACTATACAAATAAATTATGATAATTTCGATGATAATGGAATTTAAAAGTACCTAAAACATACTTTCCAACAGTCTTGAATCTGGCAAAATAGTCCCACATGTGGAATGCTTGTTCTTCCATCCTGGGATTTTTCTCCTAACTGGTTTACACCTGGGGACAACAGGGAAAAGTGTTTTGTTTGGACAGGCTTACTCTACAGCACAGGTTCCCAGTCCTCAAGCACCACTAACCATTCCAGGATTTGGGGATTACCCTGTTGTGTCTAAAGTTCATTTTTTTTTTTTTTTTAGCACCTTAGACACAACTGGGTAATCCCTAAATCCTGGACTGTTAGGGGGTATTTGAGGACTGGCTTGGGAACCACTGTTCCACAGTAAGCAAGAATGTTAGAGCATTCCATCCCAAACAAATGACACTTCAATTGTGTTCTGGGCATGGGCAGTCCTGCTTCGCTTCCTAGCTGGGCAGTGTGTCATCCTGGCATGCACAACTGGTAAAATTCCACAGCTATAAATATTACAATGTGTGTTGTAGTGACTGGTTTTATACCTTTGTTTATAATAATAAAACGTTTTATTTCCACATTAATGTGTACAGTAAAACATAATCGTTATCAGCAGAAGTTTGGGTCACCAAAATGCCCCTACCTCCACCTATTTCTGCAGATACTCCCCCTTGGAATACATATGTATTCCATTTTAAATGTTGGGAGGCATAAGACAGTATTACATTTTACTTTAAAATACTGTAACTTGTTAAGAACATGTTATAGTTTTTTGGACGATATGCAAAGGGAAATATATCCATAGATCACATGATTACCCTGTATGAAATTAATGTATCACTATATTTGTCATGGCACTTGTGTACCATGACACATCTAATGTGCTACAACTATGATGATTTAGTCTCTATATAGCAAATTCTTTACTCTTTTCAAAAACAGGTGTTCTAAACCACTGCAATGCCATTCGAACATCTAATCTAATCACTCTGATGTACAGTCATTTTCAACACTTTATTTAACAGAAACTTTGCTTTTCCCCATCCAGAGTTTCCTGTTATCCTCAATGGATTTGGACACACCTTTAATTTCTCTTCCTATGCAGTCAGTGCAATAACTTCTGAATCTTCCAGCACATACTTACTGGGATCAGCATGTGGACTGTGTATTGGGAATACCGACCCTACACATTGCAATAACACATACCGAGTGTATATGGGATCCTTCAAACTTTTAAATGAATTGTACCAAACCCAGTACAATGACACATCAAATACTGGTTTCCAAGTAGAAGCCAAACGAATAGGAAAGATGGTAAGTTTATTTTATTACCATTTAACAAATAGTATAAGCACTTGTGAAACGTAGTTCACTTGTCCTTTTAACTCCTAGAGGTGGTAGGTTTCCTATAGGACCAACATAAACTAATGTTTTAACGTACCTCCGACTTTTGCACCGACGATGCCCACAATGATTATATTTAATATATTAATGCATTCAACACTAGGGAGCTGATTCACATGCGCAGAGAGCACTGCATGCGCATCCTTTGCGTCTTATTGATTTCAATGCATTCCTCTGAGCTTCTACGTCACATGACCGAGTTTTACTTAGTCAGGGCAGTGGAAGCGCCTGTAGTGGTGTCACAAGACAACTGCTGGAGGTGGATTTAACCCTGCAATGTAAACCTGCTTTACCATGCAGGGTTAAAATGTCAGGACCACTGTCCCAGATCGCTTCATTGAGATGCAGTGGTCTGGGTGACAAGAGTGGTCATTTAATCTGGCAAAGGTATCCTATGTGAAACACATAAATAATATTTTGCAGTAATGGGAAACACGGATGGGATTGTGATAAAAAAAAAAAAAAAACATGTTTGGATTATAGGATCCACTACAATATTTAATCTGAGGTGTTTGAATATAGCAGGTTTTGTAAAACCAGAAATAGACAAATAAAAATAAAAAATAAAAAAATATATATATTTTGTGCAAACATCTCGGAAAATATATATGGGATTTAAAATGTACAATTTGTCCGGCTTTCTTCCACAACAATAGCGTTCTGTCTAGAATAAACAGGTTCATGTGATACCTAGCAGGTGCACAGGTATAGGATTGCAGGCTTTGGATGCAAGTGCATGGAAGGGAAAAGAAACCTCTAATTTGTGAAAAATGCTTTACAATACGACAATGGGTGTTTAAATACAAAACTGGTGGGCTGACTTGGCACTCCTGTGGGGAAATTTAAAGGAACACTAAGCACCATAACCACTACATATGAATGTAGTAGTTTTGATACATGGATGCAATCCTTTTTCTCAATGTTCATTTTTGCCATTTCTCTATGAGAAGCATCGGACTGGCGATTACTATTTTAAAAACTAGAGTGAATAAATGCTTTATAAAAAGTGCTTGTGATTTTAATCTTACATTTAATTGTTTTACAGCTCAAAAGAATATTCAACAGTAGCCTGGTGAAACCATATAGCAATGCTTCTACCTTTTTAATAAGGTAAAATATAATGTATGTATCAGCATGTCAGCAAGGTTCTTCAAATGTTCTCTAAACAATAGGCTTGTTTGATCTGGGCCCACGTCACTTGTTATTGTGTTTGTATACAGTCCAATATGATCTTCTCTTATTTGTATGTTTTATCTACCCATTGCACAGCACCACAGAACATGATGATGTTTTATAAGTATAAATAAAAATACTGCATGACTTTGACATGGTTTGGAAAAGCCAGAGTGCATGCATAGAGCTGCATGTTAATAGCTAGTAAAATATTAACTATCTGTTTATCTATGTGAAGTGTACGTTTAACTAAGCTATCTTTTATTGCAGCCCAGACCCATTTACTGCCCATGTCCAGTTGCTATTCTGCAATGATAGTGCAGCAGATTATGTAATTAATGGAGATGCTGTGGCACAGGTTCTTAAAAGCTTTAATGGAAGCCTGGGTGACATGAATATAACCATGGATACTAACAGCGTGGTCATGGGAGGTAATATTCCTTAGCTGTTTATCAATTGTCTATATCCATACACACTGTAGGCTAATAGGGATGCCTGTGGCTCCAGACTTGAATAAAAAGTAAGATTTTACTATATTTAGAGGGAGATGGGAAGACCAGAGGGGCTAGATCAGGGGTAGTCAACCTTTTTCTACCTACTGCCCACTAATGGAAAAATTTCCTTACCGCCCACCAGTTTTCGCGCAAGTGCGGAATGTTTTTTAGAAAGGAGGGTGTTTTAAAAAAAAAAAAAAAAAAATGTACGTACATTTATCTTTTTATTTCTACTTAATGCATGTTTATAATGTTTTTAACTTCATAAAATTTAATGAGAAAACAATAAAGTAAATTGAAATTACCTTTACTAGTGATTGAGATCCTTGAGGTTGATGCTGCGAGACTAAATATTTGATATCTGGTTCGATTTTTCATAAGGAACAAACAAAGGTCTCCTCTTTCGGTGATATTCAGACGACTTCTCTGTTTTCGCATAAAATGATTTCTCATCTGTGCGTCAGCTCCCCTCCTCTCCCTCCTCAATTCCCTTCCCCACCTTTTTTCCCCTTTTTTCTATTTTTTAACCTTACTTATAGCAATGCCCAGTAGGAAGTCTGAGCTAGGTAGCCCACTTACTATTATTTACTATAGCCCACTATAAAAGACAGGCACACATACATACAGACACACACACAAGACACACACACACATACATAGACACATACATACAAACAGACAGGCACACACATACATACAGACACACAGACAAGGAAAACACATACATATAAACAGACAGGCACACATACACACACATAAGACATACATACAAAGACAAGACACACATACATACAAATCATCAAAGCTGGAAGTGCACTCAGCTCCTCACTAGGGAATCCAGGGTGCTCTTGAAAAAGTCCCAGTACCCAAAAGGACCAAGCAGATAAATTTGTAGAAAATGATCAAGGCACTCCAATAGTTTCCAGTTTTTAAGGCAATTTATTTGGACCAGGAACTACAAAGCAACGTTTCAGCCCCAACAGGGCTTTTTTCAAGGGATCCCATTCTGAAGAAGCCACTTATGGTGAAACGCGTTTATGGTTATTAATTCTGTATTTTACTGTGTATTTTAGATCAATAAAAGTTTTTTGGCTACTTTATTGTACCAATCCTCTTTTTATTGCACTCTTTATGCACTTTAAACAACTGTTTTTTTTACCTTTTCCTGGCATTTTAACCTTTCCTGGTTACTTTTACTTCCACTGGCAATTTTAAAGTTCCAGTACTCCAAGAAGATGAGTATTATTTTATTTTCTCTACTACTCTCTTAACCTATCACAATTGAGAGCACTATTGCTGCTTTTTATTCTTCTATATTGGAGCCTTGGATCACCAGACGGTGCTGACAGACGTATCGCCGCTACATATCCTATAAGCGGGGATTATACCGCTGTACGCTATCCACACCAGAGCTGGCCATAGCTCCCTCAAATGTGAGTTTTTTACCTCTTCTTATCTGCACATTGAACCACATCAAAATTGAGAGCACTATTGTTGCTTTCTGTCTTTCTTTTCCGAGTTCTGGACTACCAGATGGTGTTGACGGAGACCCCCTCCCTACATATCCCATAAGCGGGGATTATACCGCTGTACGCAATCCACACCAGAGCTGGCCATAGCTCTCTTGAATGTGAGTTCTTTACTTTTTGTTAGCTATCACACCCAGAACTTTCATACTATACCATTAGTCGCCTCTACCTCTCTTGTATTTACATATACGGAACGGTCTACACTAGACGCATCCACAGAGGAACTCTATCAAGTATCCTAGACCATCTATTGGCACCCTAGCAATACTTTACTGGACTATCTACCCTTATTTGGCGCAGCCCTTCCATATCTTTTTGTATCTATCCACCGAAGGACCCGAGGGGTTTTCCTTCATTTGGGTTGCTGCCTACCTTGACTAATTTTGTGATTACTAGCGTTGAATTCTTTTTGTGTTTATTTATTATGGTTACTGAAATATTAATGATTTAAAGATCACAAAAGATCACCCAGCGTGTGACAATAGCCCAGGAAAATTAAACCGGACTGGTCCGTTAGTTCAACATTTGTTCATTTAAACATCAGTTCTGTCTCTTTTATTTATTTTTTTAGTTATTAACTATTTTATTAAGGTAACCATGTCTGCCTACAAAAGCGCAAGAAACCGAGCTGATTGATTCGTGCCGAATTTGTGCCGTTCAATATATTCGTTCTGTCTCTTTCAGTTTTTGATATATAAACAATTATTCACTTATTTTATTTTAAGATGCCTTGAATTATATGCTATATATTTTTCCATGTTTTTTAAAACCTGTATGTAATTTAAGCGGCTTTTGGTATTCACCACTAACATAACTTTAAATAACTGTATACTTGTATGTTATGTCTTGTCATCAGGGCCGTATTTAATACTGATTGGACCCTGGGCAGGTATTTGATTGGGGCCCCTTGACCTAGCCCTTCCCCTTCATAGCACGCGCCATCAACGCCCACAAAAAAAAACCAACACACTTAGCCCTCTCATTTCTTACTGAGACAAAATACACACACTAACACACATACAGATGCAAACACTGAAATATATAGAGATGCACACGTACACAGGTACAGACATACAGAGAGATACACAGACACACATGCAGATACACAGATACACACTGACACACCTACATACACTGATGCACAGATACACTCACTGGCAAACATGCATATAAACCGAAACACTAACACACAAACAAACACACTGACATACATGCAGATACACACAATAACATGCAGATACATACATGGACCCACATGCAGATACACACAGATACCAACACTGACACATATACAGATACACACACACACACACAGAATGATACACATTCAATTACACAGAATGACACACAGATACAAACACAGACACACATGCAGCTACACACTGACACATGTGCAGGTACAAAGACATGCAGACACACATACATACAAACAGAAACTTACATACAGACACTTACATACAAACATACAGACAGACACATACATAGAGACACTTACCTACATACAAACAGACACGTACAGACACTTACATACAAACAGACACATACAGATACACACAGACAGACACATACATACAGATACGGACAGACAGACACATACATGCACATTTATTATGTGTTTCCTACCTTTGGAGGCAGCTGGGGCAGCTGCTTTGGGCCCCCTAAGACTGACTGGGCCCAGGGCAGTTGCCCCTTTTGCCCTGTGTTAAAGACGGCCCTGCTTGTCATAGGTTATTTGTTATACTTTTCATTTGTGCTATCGACATTATAACTTTGTTCAGCTGTATGTCACAAAAGTTAGTTTTAAGGTGGACTGTATTGACTGGTTTAGAAAAAGTGTCACAATAGTCTCCCTCTTAATATACAGTACAACTGTTAGAGCTGGTGGTAAGACATACAGTTTGTTGCCTTATTTCACATTTTAATTTGCTCAGCTTTGGACTATCCTATTTTGTTGCATGGCACAGAGCTCCATGGCTGTACAAAGTTGCCACCGGTCAGGCATGGGGAGTGGTACAGCTTTTGACACTTTCGCAGAGATCGCATTGTGCATGTGCATAGTATGCCACAATCTCACTGTGGAACACAACTCAACCAATACATTTGTTCCACCTGAAGAGCATCCGAGCAGCAAGTGCCCATGCCACTTCTGGCTGCCAGCATTGACTGGGCGGAAGTAGGAAAAGCATGAAATGCAGCCCCCTTCTCCCCCTTGTGCATTCAATCGCTTGAGGAGGGGAGAGACGGCTCACAACCAAAGCTGCTCTCTGATCTGGCAGAGTCCTGCCGGACTACAGTCGCCTCACCACAATGGTAGAAGCCAAAAAGAAGTTAGTCCTGACTACCTATCCTGTCGAAGGCAGGCAAACAACAGGGGAAATTTGGTCTTTGGGGTCTTTATAGACATGAGGGAAGGAGTTGGGGCTTACGTCCTTTTAAAAAAATTTCCCAGTTCTGATTTTCTTTCCAATTTAAGTGCTTCTATAAAAGCTCCTTCTAAGGTCTACTAAATGTGTAGCAATTTATCAGGTGTGGGCCGAAATCAGTGTCAAATTGGGTGCTGGATTAGCTAATATACGCTGAACGAAAAAAACTGTTGTAAGTGAAAAAACAAAGTAGCATAAATAAATATTTTAACACAAAATCACAGCACAAACAAATGGTATATTTGCTTTTAAAATCGAATAACATAAGTTGTAGAGTAAGTAGGGTTTGAGTAAATATAATGGTCAATATTTCCAAGACCAAACCGACACAAATGTAAATTTTTGCAGCACAAACGAATGATAAATTTGTTTTTAAAAGTTAATAATGTGTGGTGCAAAGAGAGCAAAGTTTAATTATATACAATGCATGTTTCGAAAACGAAACTGTCACAAATGTTCATTTATGCAGCACAAATGAAGCACATACAATTATATATTTGCTGTTAAAATGTAATAACATGGATTGCAAAGTGGGCTGTACTAGATCAAATATAATGCTCAATTTTTCCAAAACCAAGCCCGTACAAATGTTAATTTATGATGCACAAATCAGAACAAATGCAGCACAATTTATGGTATATTTGCTTTTAAAATGTAATAAGGTGTGGTGTAAAGTGGGTTGAATTTGATATTATATAATATCTCCAAAACGAAACCGAAACAAAAGTACATTTTTGCAGTACAAACAAATGGTATATTTTCCCTCACATTTTAAAAACATGGGTAACTATCTTTAAAATTGGATTGCATGGCAGGTTAGAGAGCTGAATTGGATGGCAGATTACATAATTTTCTCTGAAAAAAAAAATAGTGTCATAACTAAAAAAAATGAAAGCTGCACAAATAAAAAAATGTAATGGCTCAAACTCAACATTAGCCAACCAGACCAGTTCCATCTGTTTTGGCTGTTGTAGGGGGCTGGGTGACCTTTATTAAATAGTTAAATGGACACTCCACTGCCCAAATACAAAATAAACACAAATTGCTGTTTAGTAAATATACCCTAAATGAAAACGTGTGTTTTTTAAATTGAGGTATATCTAAAACCGCTTGCAAAATTTGCAGTTCTGTCTTTGCAATCCCTCCCCTTCCAACCCTGCCCTAACTTCAGTGACTGTCCAATCACAGACTTCCCAATGTAGCTCAATGAGAAGTCTTTCCAAAGCAGGTGGTCTAGGCAATCTTGTGGTCAGTGCAAAAACAAAACCAGTAAGTAACAGGACCCTTTGCCTGTTTGAAAGTTAAGGTGTGTAACCAGATTAATTTATTAAAGTGTAAATTTCTATTTAAATCTGCACTTTTTTCAAAGATTTTCAGTATCCTAAAGTGCTTTAGGGGTCTGGAGTGTGCATTTAATAACTCAAAATTTAAATGAAGAATTGAGATCTAAACAGCAGAAACCGACACAAACACAGCACTAACCAACTAGCCCGGGTTTCATATCTTTTGGCTGTTGTAGGGGGTCGGGGGGATGACATTGGGTGACCTTTACTTAATGTGGAATAACTAAAAAAATTATTACTGTTATATTAATAATAAGAGCAGCACAACTGCTCTTGCAATTGCAAAAATATTTTTATGGCAATTAGACAACACAAACATAGCACTAACTAAACAAAGTTGATTTTCTTTTTTTTCCCCATTCTTTTAGTCTCTGAGAGTAGGTGGAATATACATTGGTTTACATTAACATTGGGATGTATATGCTTGCAGCGACAACAAAAGCAAATTATAAAAACAAACAGTAGTTTACTGCATGAATATACAGAGATATATAATCAGTTGCGATAGGTCCATTAAATCAATGATATGTACATGTTTGTTGTCTTTTTGAGAGGTCTTCTAGTATGACTAAATACAGACAAAAATGCAGAAGAAAAGTGGCACAGAAGACATTAGAGGCGGAAAGAGGATGAGAAGATAAGAAAAAGGGTCGGTACTAAGAGAGGCAGCCGCGTTGGGAAGCAGTTAGGGGGGTGGAGGTATGCCTGATGTCCACAAACTCTCTAGAAAAGTCTCCCAAGGTTCCCAGATCTTGGCGAAGGCCCTTAAGTACGGGGAGTACTTGGGCAGTGAGTTTATCCATTAAGTAATTGTCCTTCAATTTTGAGATAGCTAAGTCCATTGGGGGGGTGTCGGGTTGGAGCCAAATCTGGGCTAGGGCATGACTTGCAGCCAGTGAGATTTTACCAAGGAGCATCTGTTCTGCCCTCGGCCAGTCGTCCATTGACTTGTAGAGTAGATACACCCAAGGATTTAAATCTATATGCTCATTGGAAACTCGAGAGGCGAGAATGGGGCAGCTCAACCACGTGTTTATATGTTCCTCCGATTCTTCAGAGTCTCCAACACTGGTCAGTATTTTTTTTTTCATATGATACAGCTGCACTGGGGTGGTATACCATCTGAACTTTGTTTTGTATGATTGTTCCTGCATAGTTACGCAGATGGATGTTATACTGTTGGCTTCCCACATGTCCTGCCTTCAAGTACCTCCCCTAGGTTAGCCTCCTATTGGTCGATATAGTGGAGTTTTGTGCCTGAGCACAAATGGGAGTATAATTGAGTAATCATGCTTTTTTGGTAAGTTTCAGCTTCACATATATGCTCAAAGAAAGTCAGTTTCTGCTAATTTAATGTGGGGTTGGCGGGCAAATTCCCTGATTTGTATATATCTAAAAAAAGTCAAATGAGGTTAGGGTGGCTCAATTTTGGAGTTCTGTGAAGGGAACAATTGAGTCTCCATTATAGAGTTGGTGTATTCTTTGTAATTCAGCAAGTTCTAGGCTTTGAAAATCCCTTGCCCTCATTCCTGGGATAAAGGTTATCTTCCTAAGGAGGGACATCAGTGGAGATGGGGAGGATATTAGCCTGTTTTGTGCACAACAGTATCCCAGATCCAGATGGAGTTGGTCACAGATTGGCAATCAGTGTGAAGTAAGGCTCTGTGGTCTTTAAGGACTTAGATGTAATATTGTGGGAGGTTGGTTCCCATCAAAAGGGATTCTAAGTCTGACCATTTTCTTTTGTCTGGGAGCGAATGCCATAAGGCTATCTGGGTTAGTTGGGCCACTAGATAGTAAAAGAAAAGATGGGGTAATCCCAGGCCTCCAACCCTCTTAGGTTGGTATAGGATGTTCCGCGCCACACTGTGCCTCTTGATTTGCCAACCAATGCGATCTATGGCTTTTTGTAGAGGGGCCGGATCTTGTTTAGAGATGGGGAGAGGTAGTGCTTGAAACTAGAATAAAATACAAGGAAGGATGCTCATCTTCACAGAATGTATTCTATCAATCCATGAGATTGGTTTATCTATCCATCGGTCTAAGTCAGAGATTAAAGTGTTTAAGAGAGTGGTATATTCAGCTGGTAGTTGGATGCCTCGATATTTGATGGAGGAATGGGATATCTGAATGCGGTATGTGTGCCATGTCCACCGCTTACAGTGCTATGGTGAGAGCGCTAGACTTCTCCATGTTAACTTTATAACCAGCTAATTGTCTGTATTGAGTCAGAAGGGGAATCAAGGCCTTCATGGAGTCCAATGCCCCGATTGTAGGGCCGCCAGTTTTATGCAGCCTTCAAGTGTATTGTTTACTTTAACTCCCTCTTTAATAATTTCTGATGTTATACTGTTTTGGCTGCTGGGTTTGGAGCTTGGAAGTGGGGAGATCTTGGAGTGGTAAAATAGCATGTTAACACTTGTTTTAGTCATTGAATCCATTCGGAATGTGTATTGTAGATATTTTACCCATTGATATTGTATCCATTTATCTACCACTTAGTCTACGGTTCTACATTGGAAGTTCTACTTAAGTACTTGAGGTTGCCAAACCAGATTTAAGAGTACGTATCATACTACATTTATAAGCTTTAAAGTTTTCGGTACCTCCTGGGGACAATTTCAATTTGACTGAAGGGTTAGCCTTTTTTCAAGGGGGTTTTCCGCTCATAACCCTAGTGGCATTCCCTTTATGTGGCTGCATAACCCTAAACCCCTAATGCACTTTAGCTTTCGGAAAAGTTTATGTGTAAAGAGTGTGTCCTCTGTTTTTCATTTTGCAAAAAGTGCAGATTTCAATGGAAATGGACACTTTATACATTTTACTGGTTACACCCCTGGCTTTTAAAGCAGATAACAGGTCATGTTACTTCTTGGTTTGGAGCTAAACTCATGAGACAGGCAATTGTGCATAGCCCCTGCCTTGCACAGACTTCTCATTGAGTTGCATTGGAAAGTCTGTGATTGGACAGCCACAGAAAGTCTGGTCAGGGTTAGGAGGAGATGGCTTGCAGACGCAGCTGACAGGAGAAATGCAGGTTTTTAGATATTCCCCCAGTGAAAAAATGCATAATTAAAAGCATGCAAGCTGTCATTTGGGGTATATCTACTAAATAGTTATTTTTATTTATTTTGTATTTGGGCAGTGGAGTGTCCCTTTGAGAACAAAATAGCCAGAATTTTAAACAAAATCTCCACGTTAGTAATACTTGCAGTTCTTCTACTTTGACTTTAAATTTGAAATTGACTTGAAATTCTCATCAACTTTTACTTTAGTGAGTATGCCTGTTTGTGTTGAATATTTTGTAGATTTGTCCTAGTCTTAGTGAAGAATGCTCTTGAAATACCTTTTACACGTACATACCTTTCCGAATGTGTTACATTTCAGGTGAAGCACCATGTCCAACGTCTCTGGGTCTTGGCCAAACTTGGCCCTGGCAGTCTGTCATCCAGCAAGGCCAAACACCTATATGCATCGGCAGTCTGTTAGCAGCATTCTGGGTCCTTGTTCCTGCAAGCTGTGTTAGCAAGAGGTGTGTGTCCAACTTTTAAGATATCCTTTATTTCTTATTTTTATTTTAAACTTGACTGTAAAATTTATAGTAATAATTCATAAATGTAGGTTAACAACTGACCTTATCTATATAGACTTTCACACTAGGGGGAGCTCTGCGCACAGTAATACAATTTGGTACATCCAGGGATGTCAACCACCCTGCCATTCAGCTAATTGGTGATTTGTTTTTGACACACCATGATTAGTTTTTTGTACCATGCTTTATTACAGGGATAGGCAACCTTTTAGTAGTACTGTGCCAAAATCAGATCTTGAAGTCCCTTGGTGTGCTGGTCCTATTTTTTTCCAATCGAGTTGTGTATGTGAATGTATTCTGCTTGTGTTATTAATGGGTGCTTCAGATGCTTTGCAGTGTTGTATTTGTGTGTATGTGGGCTGTTACATTGTATATGTTCATGAGTAGCTTGTGGTATTGTATATGAACGTGGGCTGTGTATGGTGGCTGTTTGTGGAATTGTGTGTGTGGATGATATGCCACATTGCGTGTGTGTGGTTGTGTGTGTGTATTGTAAGTGGTGGTGTATTTGTGGGAACTGTGTGTATTTGTGTGTGTGTTTTTTGTATTACTTGTATGAGGGGAAGGCTTATTCTGCAGTTCTGCATATATCTACCTGTGTGGGGAACGGGCTGGCCAGGTGCAGGTCAAGAGCAGGAGCCGCAATACCTTCCAATTCTAAGATCACTTCCTCTAAGTGCTGCAATATGTAAAATGAGGATTTTCCCTCACCACCTGCAATCATCACTCGTTTGCACTAGGAAATATCTGAAGTCCCACTAGGACTCCTGAGTGCCATGCATGGCACACGTGCCATAGGTTGCTGACCCCTGCTTTATTATATCGTAAGTGTCTTTCATGACCCTGCCCCTCATGCCTCAACATAGTGTCGACTTTGCATCCAATCTTTCTCACCACCTATGTCGTCTATAATTTTCAGCCTTTCCCTTGTTTTTAATCTGACTTGTTCTGTCCTATGTGATTACAGGCTCTCACCAGCCATACCTCCCAACATGAGCATCCTTATTTCATTACCACCAGCCATACTTCTAAAGCTTACTGTAGTGGTTATGCTGCTATAGGTCTATAGGTGCCATGCTCCATTTTTTGTCAAATAATTTAGCGGTAGTTTTTCGAAAAACAGATATCTCCTAATGCAGACCAATGGCTACAAGCATTATTAGCTCACAAAAGCAGATCCCGATGCTCGTCACATCTGGAGCTCATGTGCAAAATACAATATAGGTGGTACCTGGTGCAAACTAGATTGGTGAGCATATATCCTAATACTTCAAAGCAATGTTGGAGGTGTAGAGCAGAAGAGGGCACGATGTACGGCATCTGGTGGACTTGCCAGAATATCAGGGGATATTGGTGGAAAGTTGAAAAGATTATTACTGGGGCCCTGCACATTGAGACCAAATTGTAACCCGAGTGTGGGTTACTGTTTATGACACTCGACACTTACACGAAGGCCCCAAGCATGCCTGTTATATCACATACTGATAGCAGCAAACCTACTGATAGCTAGGCAATGGAAACAGGTTAGGGCACCAGAAAGAGTGAGTCTGATACAACAAACCTCCAAGAATTTAGACTACGAAACACTTCAACCCAGTGAAACATATGGTAGAAGCCAAGATTTGGTGGGAAGCATATCTTGGACACAAGGTAGGAATTAGGCTGAAGGAGGATCGGGAATAACAGATGATGTGAGATCAGTGCAAAGCAAACAAAAATAAACCAAAAAAAACCAAACTGTTATCCTGGGGATCGGAGACCTTGAGTGCTCGATTGAGGGTTGTCAATAAGGTGCTATACTTTCGACAAACATACCCACGGGGAAGGTGGAGAGAACCCACACTGTACATAGTTTGCAACATGTTGTCATGCTAGGTCAATCAATAGTCTCAGGGTTATCTCATCTCACAGAGGCCTGGTGGACATTACGTGAGATCTCACAGGAAGCACTGAGAATTCAGGACAGGATGTCTAACACTAATATATATTTTGTGAACTAATGTGTGGTATCTTGGAATGTTCATGGATATTGATATTGCTGTTGTATCACTTTATTTTTGTTTCCCCCTCCCTTTTCTTTCTTCTGTATCCCATAATATGCTTTAAAAACAATAAATATCATAAATGTGGGAAAAAAACAGATATCTCATCTCTGGCATCCATATTCTACCCTCTCTTCAAACTCACTGTTAATGCAGAAACTACACTTCCATGTTAATTCTGAGGTGTGATTCAAGCCAACCCTGATGGCAGTGATATGCTGCTGATCTAATTCAAAGCTATCATTCCTGTCCAGAATGGCTGGCATCGTTCTTTATAATGTAAAAAAAATGTTTGCATTACTAGTGCAACTGAAGGGGGAAGACGTACTGGTGCCAGGAAGAGCCCTCTTGTCTACAACCTTGAAAAAAGTAAGGGACAGTAGAATTTTGTAATGCGTATGGTATGTAGAGTTGGAAAAGAGGGGAATGGATGAGAAGAACAAATATAAATTTCTCTATCTACTGTTTTTGTTTATTATATTAACTGCAGCACTTTTTTTGTTTCAAATTTAGGGATGTCTCCCTTCTAAGTGTGACTTTGGGTCCTAGCTATTCAGCTAATACAGTGTGGAAAGTAGCAAACATTATCCAGCATCCCAACTACACAGCATCACCTCTCACTAATGACATCGCTCTGGTTTTACTATCAACTCCTGCTTTATTCAGCTCCACCATTATGCCTATCTGTCTTCCTCAAACAATGGAGAACCCAGCTTTGGGGACACTCTGCAGTATGAACAATGGAAATATTTCAGATGGTAAGTATTTTTGATAATACGTCACTTAGATTGTATAACAAATAAATTTGCGAAGAAACACTCTGTCTGAGCTAAGCCTGGCAGTGAGGAAGTCGCCCAATGTGTTAGCCCTGCACTGAGGGCTTAGTTCAAGAGAGCTAACGGAAACTCCTAAGCAGGTACTTCTGGCTTGATGTCGGAAGTAGTGGAGGTGGGGAGCTGCGCCTGGCAGGCCCTAGGTAAGATGTCAAACTGTTCCTAAATGGTTTGTTTACTTACAATGGGGGCACCAGGGCACTCCTGGCACCATAACTACTACAGTGTGCTATAGTGGTAATGGTGCTTGGAGTGTTCCTTTTATGAGTGCAGTTGCTTATTGGTTGAAAGTAGATGTTTTCAGGAATATACCTCTATGTATATAATTTGAAAGATACTGTATATGGGAATAAAACATTTCATATGTTACCTTACCTAGTATACTATACAGCTCTCTCTACAGCTGGGTTGGTGATCATGGCTGGGACGGTGACTTCAGGAGTGACCTGCCTTACTACATCCCAGAATGGCATAACATACATCAGTCCAACTTTTACTATGGCTTCACTCATCCAGGTAATACATCAAATGCTTGGCTAATATTATAAGTATGGGTGGACATGTATAGTGAATTTCACCCAATGGAGCAAATACCTCTGAACCATCAAATTATAGAGACATTCTGGGGGGCGGAGCCAGGCAATAGAACGGAGCTGTCGCATCTCTCTCGAGCTCCGACCACAAGGCCTCAAAAGATTAAAAATCACCCCCAAAAACAGGCCATAAAACCCTTTGATGTACCCACCATAATGTGGCTCCCTAAAAAATTTCGACCAGATACTCCACAGATGCCAACGCAGCTAAAAATAGCAGTCAGGGCTTGGGACAAGCTTAGACATAAACTGGTAACACCTACCCCTCTATCGCCAGCCACCCCGCTCAACACAATCACATACTGCATCCCAACCTTCAACGCCAAGCCATGGATAGCTAAAGGGGTCACATATTTGCACCAAATACTTGCGCATAACAAACTAAAAACCTTCCCAACTCTCCAAAAGGAATTCCACATACCAGAGGCCTCCCAATTCTCTTATATACAGTTAAGCTCATTCATACGTAAACACGCAGGACTGCCCCAGATGACAACCCCCTCGGTATGACGAAATGGGAACAAACAACCACTAGAGGTTCATGGGCACCGACATTTAAGCCACTATCCTGGTGTTATCAACTCATCCGACCCACACAACACTTTGCAGATTCCAATCCAGCCAGGCACTGGGCACAAGACCTACAAGGCCACATAAGTAAAGATCAGTGGGAGCGGGCTATAGTGACGACCAAAAAACTAATTAAGTCGGAGGTGCTATTGGAGCAATATAGGAAGACCCTATATAGGTGGTACATGGTCCCCATTCGCTTACACAAGCTATACCCAGGTTCACCCCCGGAGTGCTGGAGGTGTGGAAAGGGAGAGGGTACAGTACTTCATATATGGTGGCAATGTGAACTAGTCACCAGCTTCTGGCGCAACATACACTGCCTGATTCGAGCCGCAACAGGCACCAAACTCCCCTCCACACCCATAACAAGTCTCTTACTACACATGCCAAGCAATATACCTAAAGGGATACAGAAATTAGCCTTCCACATCCTCTTGACAGCTCAGAGGGCAATAGCTAGGTTGTGGAAATCCCAACGACCACCACTGGTGGCAGAGGTCTGCAGGGACATTGATACACAACACCTATATGAAACCTGCTACCGAGGGGTCCTTCCCTTGACAGACACAGCAGTTGAAGCATGGAGGCTGTGGGAAATGAGGGGAACAGGAGACACACCCGACGGCTAAACTACTAGACGTACTCGACTCCCAGGGTCGATCGCCAGATAATGATAGACAAGCGAGCAACAATACCCCATGTTAGGGACAAATGTAGAAGTGGTCAGACGTACGAACTTAGAACTTAGAAAATGTATGTAGGAAATCTCAAAAATTGTGAATGTAAACATTGATGTAAAAAACTTGGTATGGACCCCCTCTTCCCCCCCCCCGCTTTCGTTCTGTACCCCCTCCCCTCCCCCAAGTCATGTTTGTGTTTATGGCATTGCCAAGATGAAAACCAATAAAAATCTTTAAATGGCAAAAAAATCACCCCCCAAAATAACAGTCCCCTCTGGATCCCCAACAGTCATGGGTCGAAAGACCAAAAAGCAGAGAAACCAAGAACTGGAGAGACCATAGGGGACCTATGGTGGCAGGCACATGGCGTCCCGCAATCTCAGCTGCCACACTACATGGGAGAGAGCTCCGACTTCTACGACTACCAGACCATGTGGTCGGAAGACTCACCTACGTGCACTAGGTGCACAGACATTGCCCCCTGCGGCTACTGAGCCTAAAACAGATGCAGCGCTTGTTACTAAGGCAGATATGCAAGAACTGCTGGCAGGCCTCAGGCGCGACATCCACGTGGATGTAGCCATGCTCCTCACAGGCTGCATGGGCACGCTAGAGGAGAAGTCCCACACCACCACAACACAACTCACTTAATTGCAACAGGAGCTGCACATGCTCCAAAAACAACACACCACTCTTGAGTATGCAGCTATGGAGGCCTCCAGACGCCGCAATAACCTCAAGATTAGAGGTGGCAGAGGCTGTTCCGGACACGGAATTACCACACTTCATCAGATGCCTCCTATGTGCAATCCTAACTCCCAGACAAGCCAAGTCGCTGGCAATAGACGGAGTGTTTCGGATCCCCAGATCGGCCCCGGCCCCTATCACAGCCCCAAAGGGACTTGATTGTTTGCTTCCAGGCTGGACAGGACAGGGCCTCTGTGCTGGGCTCTCTCAGAGGACAGACGCCTTACCACTTTGAGAACTTTCTTCTTACCTTCTATGTGGATCTCTCGGGGAGCTCCTTAGTGTGGCGGAAAATGATGCAGCCCTTCACCACGTTCCTGCGAGTGCAGGGTATCACATACATATGGAAAATGGCCCACATGCTGATGGTCACCCAGAACGGTGCCTCCTACCCAGTCCACGACATTGGAGAAGCAGAGGCGATGCTGGTGAAGTTCGGCCTTCCACAGGACTCACTTACAAAAGGCAAATGCATGTGGCGGCCCAACCCCACACCTGGGACCCAGTTGGCACAGCCCCATTTGTACCCAGGAGGCCCCCAGCAGACACCAACACGGCGGCCACCACCTGAACTCCCACTGGAGGTCTACAGCACTAGACCGTTCATACTATACTTACCATTAACTTGTTCGAGCTGAAGCCTCACCGGACGTTGTTCTATATTCCCTAAAGTTGATACCAAGATTATTTCAGTTTATGTTCTTTTGTTCAGCTAATATGTACACACTTGTATCCTGCGCCTCACCACTAGACCTCTCACTCACACGGCCACCACCACAGAGGGGATAGGGCAGGGCATGCGGGCACAGACTTCGGGCCACATGGGAACACATATGGTTATCAAGACCTACACCAGGGCCGGAACCTACACCTCCACCACTGGTTGCCGATTGAGTAACCATGAGTGGCCTTTTATTATGGCCAGCCTAAGGCACACCTCTGCAATAATCATGCTGTCTAATCAGCATCTTGATATGCCACACCTGTGAGGTGGATGGATTATCTCGGCAAAGGAGAAGTGCTCACTAACACAGATTGACAGATTTGTGAACAATATTTGAGAGAAATAGGCCTTTTCTGTATGTAGAAAAAGTCTTAGATCTTTGAGTTCAGCTCATGAAAAAAAAGGGGCAAAAAGAAAAGTGTTGCATTTATAATTTTGTTCAGTGTATATATACACACACACACACATACATATATACACACATGCACATTGGTGTATCCTGGTTTTGTGCTGCCCTAGGCAGGACAAAACTCAGGCTTGCCACGCCACGCCACCCCCACCCAACCCTTCCCCCCGCCCTGCCTTCTAAATACACACACACACACACATTCACTGACACATACGCATACACTAGCTGACACACACACACTAACAGGCAAACACACTCACAGTCACTAACAGACACACACTCCTCTTTACCTTTGGGAATGCTGCTGGGGGGGGGGTTCTCCCTCTCCCTGGGGTCAAGTGGGGCTGCTGGTCGGGCGGCGCTGGCGAGGGAGCACTTTCCCATGAGCGCTCTGCTCAGCTGACGTCATATTCTGGCTCCCAGCATCACTCTGCGGCGCGCAAGGGAGCCGAGCAGAGCGCTCAGGGGAAAGTGCTCCCTCGCCAGCACCGCCCGCTCGCCCGACCGACTTGTCAGTTAGCCATAAGGCTAACAAGACATTTGCCCTGGGCATTTCGGGGCAGCTTTTTTTGCCGCCCCCTGGAAAATGCTGCCCAAGGCAAATACGGCCCTGTACATACACACAAACAAAATTAACAGTTACTTACAGTATCTCACAAAAGTGAGTAAACCCCTCACATTTTTGTAATATTTTATTATATCTTTTCATGTGACAAAGAAGAAATGACACTCTGCTACAATGTAAAGTAGAAGTGTACAGCCTGTATAACAGTGTAAATTTGCTGTCTAAACCGTTGGCAACAAAAGTGAGTACACCCCTAAGTGGAAATGTCCAAATTGGGCCCAATTAACCATTTTCCCTCCCCGTTGTCATATGACTTGTTAGTGTTACAAGCTCTCAGGTGTGATTGGGGAGCAGGTGTGTTAAATTTGGTGTTATTGCTCTCACACTCTATAATACTGGTCACTGGAAGTTCAACATGGCACCTCATGGCAAAGAATTCTCTGAGGATCTGAAAAAAAGAATTGTTGCTCTACACGAAGATGGCTAGACTAGGCTATAAGAAGACCCTGAAACTGAGCTGCAGCATGGTGGGCATGACCATACAGCGGTTTCGCAGGACAGGTTCCACTCAGAACAGGCCTTGCCATGGTCGACCAAAGAAGTTGAGTACACATGCTCAGAGTCATAGCCAAAAGTTGCCTTTGGGAAACAGATGTGCTGCCGGCATTGATGCAGAGGTTGAAGGGGTCTGTAAGTGCTCAGACCATACACCGCACACTGCATCAAATTGGTCTGCATGGCTGTCATCCCAGAAGGAAGCCTTTTCTAAAGATGATGCACAAGAAAGCCAGCAAACAGCCTGCTGAAGACAAGCACACTAAGGACATGGATTACTGGAACCATGTCCTGTAGTCCGATGAGACCAAGATAAACTTATTTGGTTCAGAAGGTGTTAAGCGTGTGTGGCGGCAACCAGGTGAGGTGTACAAAGACAAGTGTGTCTTGCCTACAGTCAAGCATGGTGGTAGGAGTGCCATAGTCTGGGCCTGCGTGAGTGCTGCCGGCACTGGGGAACTATAGTTCGTTGAGGGAACCATGAATGCCAACATGTACTATGACATACTGAAGCAGAGCATGATCCCCTCCCTTCGGAGACTGGGCCGCCTGGCAGTATACCAACAAGATAACGACCCCAAACACACCTCCAAGACTACCACTGCCTTGCTAAAGAAGCTAAAGGTGATGGACTGGCCATGCAGATCTCCTAAATCCTATTGAGCATCCACAAATGGAAGGTGGGGGAGCGCAAGGTCTCTAACATCCACCAGCTCCATGATGTTGTCATGGAGGAGTGGAAGAGGACGCCAGGAGCAACCTGTGAAGCTCTGGTGAACTCCATGCCAATGAGGCAGTGCTGGAAAATAATGGTGGCCACACAAAATATTGACACTTTGGGCCAATTTGGACATTTCCACTTAGGGATGTACTCACTTTTGTTGCCAACAGTTTAGACATTAATGGCAGTGTGTTGAGTTATTTTGAGGGAACAGCAAAATTCCCTGAACAGCAAATTTACACTGTTATAAAGGCTTTACACTTACTGCTTTACATTGTAGCAGAGTGTCATTTCTTCAGCGTTGTCACATAAAAAGATATAAAATATTTACAAAAATGTGAGGGGTTTCCTCACTTTTGTGAGATACTATATATCACGCATATCCACAGAAGAGCATTGACTGCAAGGAAAGGGACGCAATAACATCTACAGACGTCCACTCACATGACCTTTTGGGAGCTCTGCTGTATGGTCACAGCATTGCTATGCAGATGGGTGCTTTAGTAACCTTACACAAATATAACAACATTGTTTAAGTGAAGAAGAAATAACATTAATTGACAGTAAAAGTTCTGAAAATCTTCCTAAACAATGTTCCGTAAAGATGGTTTGGACATATACAATAAATAAGATTAAATCAGAGTAAGATTCCTGTCTCTCGTACCCAGAGGGCTTGGAGGCATGGCTTGAAACCGCGCTTATTTAGTTTAATATTGGGTTTTGGGTACTATAACAACTACAATAAAATTAAGTTCTTAAAGTGCCTAGAGTGTCCTTTTAATGACATCCTGAGGGTAAAGCAGAGCTGTGGCATGTAAAAAGGTAAACAATTTTTTTTTATTTAAACAGTGGGTGGCCCTAAATCTTCACATAAAAAAGGAACATGCCAGCATTACAAATAAATATTTATTTTTAACTTTGGAGTGTTTCTTTAACATGTGTCTCTTTTTCCATTTTAGGTGGATGTTGGGAGCACTTTGGTCTGCATGGGCACAAACAAAGCAGTTTATCTTCAAGGGATCACATCTTCACAACAGAAAAGCACCAGTCTGAACAGCTCATGTGTGAACTACATTAACATTGGTCCTGCCATAGATTGGATCAAAACTTACATTATAGATTAATTCAACGTGACTATTGTTCAGCGATTTCATATGTATATAATTAAGCTTTTTGTGTGTATTTAATGGTCTGTTAAGCCATCACTTACCGTTTAACCATCCCTACGACTTTCTCAGGTCTTCCTTCAAAATACTAGTTTTGTTGACTTTGCATCCAGCTAGATCATGTTATGATCTGCATGCCACACGCTATTTTCAACTTACAATATATTCTTTTCCAAATGAGTTTCAGCTATTATAATGCCTATTACAAGGGTGTACTTTTCAGCATATTTGGATCCAGTGAAGCATGTCTCCATTACCTCTTTTATTAGAGATGTAATACAGAGTTAACCCACAAGATGTTGCCAAAGTATTTTTCAATTTCATTACATTTATAATTAGCTCTTGTCCACACTGTGTTCCTGACCGGGCTGCATCAGAGTCTGCAACATGGTGCCAAGGTGGAGAGATGCCTGTCACAAAGGGTGGTCTCAAGGAAGTTGCAGGGCAGGGGGAACATCATCTAAGTTTATTAAGGCAGGCAACTGTGTCTTAATAAAAGTACACTGCAACCAAACCTGGAAGGAATAGGGCTTAACAGTGGAGTGCAGAAACATTAGGATATGGAGGCAGGCACTCACTGATGGAGCACTGCCAGCCACCATTTGAGATCTTTGGGAGCAGAGCTGAGTGCATGCAGGGGTTGCAAATCTATTCATATTAAAGGACCACTATAGTGCCAGGAAAACATACTTGTTTTCCTGGCACTATAGTGCCCTGAGGGTGCCCCCACCCTCAGGGCTCTAGGGGGTGGAAGGGGTTAAATTTACCTCTTTCTCCAGCACCGGGTGGGGAACTCTCCTCCTCCATATCGCCATCATCGGCTGAATGCACATGCGCGGCAGGAGCCGCGTGCGCATACAGCCAGTCCATTGGAAAGCATTCTCAATGCTTTCCTATGGACGCCGGCGTCTTCTCACTGTCAAAATCACAATGAGACAGTCACTAGAGGCTGGATTAACCCTATAATAAACATAGCAGTGTCTCTATGTTTATAGAAGAAAGTGGTAATCCTAGCTGGACCTGGCACCCAGACCACTTCATTAAGCTGAAGTGGTCTGGGTGCCTATAGTTGTCCTTTAAAATAGACACATGATGGTGGAAGTCGGTGCCTGCCTTAATACACGCACACAGGGCATTGATCATGGGTAGTCAACCTTATAATACCTATCGCCTACTTATGTATCTTTGTTGATGCTAAAATTTCCTTACCACCTAAAGGTGCTGCAGTAACTCAATATTTTAGCTCAAATGCGCATAGTTTTCTAGAAAGAAGTTTTTTGTTGTTGTTTTTTTTTTACTTAAATGTATCTTTTTATTTTGACTTTATGCATGTTTATACATATATAATTTAAATTTAATGAATTAACGCATCTTTATCGATGCAGCGCCTACTAGTGTGGGAGTTGCTTAAATTAAAAAAGAAAGTTAAATGTGAAAACAATAAAGTTTATTGATATTACCTTTAATTAATGACTTATGAGATCCTTGAGGATGATGCTCCGAGACTAAATATTTGATATCTGCTTCAATTTTCATAAGGAACAAATGATGGCCTCTTCTTTCTGTGATATTCAGACGGTTTCTCTGTTTGGTGATAATATGATTAACAGCACTAAAGTCTGATTCTAAAAGAGATGCAATGAGGAAAGGTATCAATAAACTGAATATCATTTTCCACATATTTGGATATAACACAGGATTATTTCTATTTTGACAAGAGTTTTTGGTATCCACCACTGACAAAATTACATCTACTCTCTTCATCATGTTTAAGTTCTAATCTTCTTGGCAAGTTATATCAACCTCAGCAAATTTTACTGTAAAGACAGTTATCATCCAGTCACACACCTTTAAGTTCGAAGTATCTTTAAATTGGTTTTTTTCAATATCCAGTTTAAGTTCTTTGAGGTGGCTACTGAACCTTTCAATCTCCTCTGGGGTTACATCATCTTTTATAGATGACAATTCAGGAAACTAATGAAATTCTCTCCTTAAAAAAAAAAAAAGGTTATGACAGAGAAGATCAAGCGTTTCGATAAATGACACTATATTGCAACTTATAAGAGTTATAGTGTCTCTTTGAAGCTGCAAATTAATGCCAAATAAAAGGCTGTTACTGTTTTTAATTGTTCAGAGAGACCAGCCTCAATATTACTTTAAAAAAAAAAAAACTGTATGACACGATCATATAACGCAACAAAATGAGACAAGCATACCGTTCAAGAGCCACCACGTTCTGTCCTCCACTGAGTGATGGCATCACTAATCTGCTCAAGGGAGCAGAGCAGGGCCATCACAGCAGCCCCAGGGGTCAAACTATGACTATAGCGGAGCTAGATTTTGAATAGTAAGTAAGTCACAAAATTTAAGGAACATTTGTCATTTTAAAGATATTCTCAACAGGTGAAATCTAGGTACTAGGAAGTCAGGGGTATTAAATCTGCATGTAGTTCTAAATATAGATACTGTTATAAACACAATAGCTATCTATATATGAAAAGGCAGTGCTTATATTAAAAATCCTGCAGGGGCAGGCTACAGAAACTAGAACCACTACATTAAGCTGTAGTGGTTCTGGTGACTATGGTGTCCCTTTAAGAACTGTATTTTTGCCGTTAAATTAAGCTTTGTTTAAAAAAAAAAAAAACACCTTAATCATTACTTGTGTAGCTGGATCCTAGATTCCAGACAAATTCCCCCCCAAGAAGAAATATGTACTATAAAACAGGTCCTCTTTCACTGGGAAGGGGAAATCAAGCTCATGACAGGTGTCCAAACTTGGATGTTTTGTGCTACAGTTAACAATTCCCTTGTCACCAAGTTCCAGTAACCGTAATCCTAAACTCCTCCTCACACCCTATAAAGACCTCTGCCCACTCACAAGCGTACTGCTGGAATTTGTGTGTCCATAAAAAGTACATGCTCCTTTCTCAGGCACACAGATATCAGAAACAAACATGATATGGATGTGCTCTCCTACAGGACATGAACCTCTAACATCTGTAACTTATAAAGTTGGAGACCACTTCCTCTGATTCTCCTATAGCAGGACCTATACTATGATATAAAGAGCAAAGTTCATCTATTGGCGCAATATAAATACAAATGTACCAATTCAAGATTACTCATATCATCCATTAGAATTTTACCATACTATATGGCAATTTCAACTAAATGTATTTTCTCTATATGTGAACAATAAATGAACCCTCACTCTTAGTTTGCACCTTTTCAGCTACTTATCTGGCAAAATTAAACCATATAAATGTAAATTAATATTATAGCAAATTTCTGCAAGGATAATTTACTAGCATTAACAATGCAAACATTCTAAATCAACAAAACATGCAAACAATAAAGATATTTTATAGAAATAATCCCCCCCCCCCAATATTAAAGGCAGTTTTACCCAGTGCAGGGCATTTGATTGTCTCACGATATTAAGACAATCCAATGAATTGGGGACCTACCGGCATTTGAAGCAGTCACTACACCGAGCATTCTTTTAATGGAGAAGCAATGAATCCAGTGAAGTGTTCAGCAGTGGTGAATGTGAAGGTTTTCAACTATTGAAAGATGTCGTGAGGACGTATTTGTATTGGCTGTCTGATAGTTACTAGAGGCATTCTGACTGACAAAATGTACACATTGCTGTTTCTCGTAAATGGTATGGACAGGGCTTTTGCATTAAAACCACTACATTAAGATACATTAACATCTATACATTTAGAATTTGGTTATATGACAAAACACTGGAAATACCAAGTGATAACTCATTCTTGAGGTCTTTATTAGTAGAAGAAAAAAAACACTTCAGTGATAAAATAGGTCAATACCATAAATTCAAAAAGAAAAGTTAAAATTAAACTAGAGTATTGCATTTTATGTGTAACAATTATATAATTACACAAACAGACATATTTGAAAAAATGGGATGGAGGACTTAAAGCAAGATAAATAACTTTCTCTTTGTGACACTTGCCTTACTCTTAAATTTAAGGCTTTAGGCCCAACACCAGGATTTTCCTTTGGAAGGAAGGTATTGCAGCTTAAAAAATGCATTTTCTACATTCAAAACCATGGATTACCATCCATCCTTTTTTAGCTCTGGGAATTCAGATAGTGGGTTTTTACTTTTGTTTAATTAAATTTACAAATTTATATATACACACACACACACATTTATTTTACACCCTTTGCATTTTCTGTGGACCTTGAATACTTCAGACTGAAATCAAACACAAGGACATATTTCTTTGGAATAACAGATTTTTGTTTTTATTAGAAAACAAGGACTATCCTCAAACCCCCATTTCCAATAGCAGTTACTACATTTGTATTACACCAGAAAATTCTACCAATAGAAGTAGAGTTTAAAACACAGACCTCTTCTAATGCTTAGAGCCCAACTTTTTCTGTGGTTGCAAAGGTGTCAGGGGGAGGGGGGTTTAAACGATTTAAAAATTGTATAAACCAGGGAAACTTGACCCCAAAGACAGTCTGTTACCTGGGAGGGGGACACCCAAAAAACAAATAACTTTATAATAAAATGAAGGTCTCTCATAGCAGTATAATTAAGAGACTCATCTCTTCACCAACTGCTTCAACAATGACAGCTGCCACTGATTGAATGGGAAGCACATGGCTCCTGCCATTTCAGCAAAGATTCAAATCCATTTTAGTGTGCACTGGCAAAAAAAAAAAATTAAAATTTTATTAAATATTAAAGGGAACCTGTCACGACTTACCTGGCCGTCCACTCCCGTGCTGCATTGTTATTACAGAGGTGGGTGTTATAGTTCTGTAACACCTACATCCTGTCTCTTCCTCCTTCCCTCCTCTATTGGTCTTGTCCTGCCTGGGGACTTCTTCCAGGATGCCGACATACTGAATTTGCCAGCATCTGAATGTTGTGACTGTAATCAGTCTGTTCCGGTACTGCTTAGCCGACCCTGCTGGTACAGAGTTTCCATAGCAACCACAGTGTCTATGCCAAAGAATTGACTAACAGCTGGGAGAAAGGCCTAGTTTTAAATAGATTTTCTCCTATTCTATATATTTGTTATCAAAACTGCTAGTATAATGTATAGATGAAATTTGATGCTCTTGAAAATACATTGAATGTTGGTGATTATGATGCTTAGAGTGCCATTAAAAAAAATGTTTTTTATTGGATCTGTACATTGAGCTACAAGCAGGATTCAAAAATGTCCATTCACACACCAATAATTGGCAAGTGATAATTTAACCATGGCAAGTAGAAATTCATCCCTAGTGTGTCATGAGCTCTTCAGGTTGAAATGCAAGTAACTTGCTGGTTTGTTTAGTAGTATATAATTTAAGATTTAAACCCCAGTACAAGAATAGCTAGCAAGTGTATAGATTTAAAAAAAAAAAAATCTAAAAAATCTAAAGGTTAAAAAAAAATCATCCACCCTCATGTGTCAAAAGCATGATCCAGTATGCCAAGGACTGACTGACAAGCAACGTGCAGGAGAAAGTTCCTCCCAGTTACTCTGAGAAACTAAGATATAGTGTGATATTAATTGAACAGAAGGTTCATTGTATTTACAATCCTTTTTGACATTACAAATGTGTGATGCCAGCGGTTGATATACTAACCATAACAACCACTATTTCAGCAGTATTAAGACAAGGTTGTACTTTGTATAACATATCATAGATCCTCTTTGCTTGCTATAAGAATAAAAGGCAAATACGGTGAATAAACTGGAAATTATTGGCAGCTTCATTCCCATTAAAGCTCTCAGTTTACGTAGAATAGTCATCCTTTCAGAAAATTATTCATGTAATCTCACCAATTTCCTTCAGATAATATCTAGATGTTTGAACAGAGAATTCATATCTTTGTATTGATTGAAACATTATCGTGTCTGAACTTGAATTAATTCTGTTTGTTCAATGGCACTTGGAGTGCAAGTATCTGCATGACTGTGTCCTTCTGGGCACAATTGTGCTGGTTGATGAAATTGTCCTGGTGTGATGCCTATTTGGGTGGGTAAGGATGTAGCAGGAAAAGTACTTGGTGTCAAATTTCCAACAGGCTTCATGTTCTGATATGGAGAGTAGGTATTGGGTAAGCCTTGGGGAGGAGTGTAATACTGCTGTACTGGATAAGATCCCGGTGGTGGGTTTATTCTAAAATGAGAGAATAAATAGAATAAAACCAATCGTTTGTAATGTGTATCCTGACCCATTACGACACAGCCAGGTTTTTCATTTACAGAATTAGGACAAATTTTTCATGCTCCAACTTATACTGGCAATGTCCATAGTAATATTGTCTATTACTGATAAAAGGTACAAACAGCTACTTTAAACATGCTAAAAATATTGATACTTTTATAAATTAACTTTATTGCCCCACCCCATCGTGACATAAGTTTACTTCCAGGTAGATTTGTGCAATTGCCCAATGAAAGATCAGCCAGGCTTTAGCTGGTGATACTTATTCAATGAATAAGACTACACGGGTAAAATCCTTAGTTCGGGTATAGATAAAAGGAATTTGATTTGTTCGTAATAGCTGAAACCCATTTGTGCACAAGTCTACTTCGAAGTGCTTCACTGACTAAAACTCCCTCCAGATGCATTTTGCTGAACCTCACCTCTTTTTTTACAAATGCTTCTCACCTTGGAACTCCTCAGGACAAAATTCCCTAAATCCCAGCTTTGTCCTATTAAAGGACCACTATAGTGCCAGGAAAACATACTTGTTTTCCTGGCACAATAGTGCCCTGAGGGTGCCCCCACCCTCAGGGTCCCACTCCCGCGGGGCTGGATGGAGAGGAAGGGGTTAAAAACGTACCTTTCTCCAGCGCCGGGCTCCCTAGGTGCTGGAGACTCTCCTCCTCCTTCGGTCGTCATCGGCTGAATGCGCATTCAGCTAGTCCATAGGAAAGCATTCTCAATGCTTTCCTTGGACGCTGGAGTCTTCTCACTGTGAAAATCACAGTGAGAAGCGCGGAAGCGCCTCTAGTGGCTGTCAATGAGACAGCCACTAGAGGCTGGATTAACCCTAAAGTAAACATAGCAGTTTCTCTGAAACCGCTATGTTTATAGCAGAAAGGGTTAATCCTAGGTGGGCCTGGCACCCAGACCACTTCATTAAGCTGAAGTGGTCTAGGTGCCTATAGTTGTCCTTTAAACCACTTAACTTTATCATCTTATAAAACAGGACTTGCCATGTACTGATAACATGTTTGATTATCCTGTCACTGACTCATTGATGGGAGAAAGGGTAGTGGAGTTAACATCAGGAGATGATGGGTTACTGTTTAATCACAAGGATAAGGACCACATTATTTACCTTTGTAAGATGACCTTTGAACCAAAATGCCCAATTTAATTTACTCTCCAGAAATTATTAGCAACTTGCAGAGGAACACATTTCTTATATGTATTGTATTAATACTAATTTTTGCCACCAGGGTCTTTATAAATATCTATATTTTAATATATATATTTTGTCACACCAACTGTATGGAGAACCTTTTTTTTTTTAGATGAATATTTCAGAACCTGTGTGAAAAATTGGGTACTGTATAATATCTAAAACTTTTCATTCCCCCAATTTTTCTATAAAACATGATTAAGTGAAATATAAAATTGTATATATTTACGCAATTTGTTTTTTTAGGTTTGTCTGAGCAGTAATCAATACACAAAATTGCGGTTTTATCATACCCTTTATCTGCTACCTGTGCATCCCATGTTGTCACATTACAAAGCTGTGTTCCTAACACTATAGGAACCCTCAGCCAGTGGGATCCTCCTCTGCCGACATCAGCGGATGGGGTAACCTAATATGCATGTGTGGCCCTTCCCATAAGAGCATTGACTCAATGTTTTACATTGTAGGGTTAAGGGAACAGTGACACTTCACACAGACCACTATAATGAATATAGTGTCCCTTTAAAGTAGTAAGCTTCTTAAGCTTTAAATAATTTTGTGTAATAAGCCCACCCTTATGTCCCACTCAGCATGTGGGTTCTTTCCTTTTTGCTCTAAATATACATCATGACTTTTATGATCGATTTCAGGAAATTTCGAATGGCTGTAATAAAGCAATGTTTGGGAGAAAGTTTTACATGCCAGACGATGTGTAGTTACAATGAAATAATAATAACACTTACTTCCGGGTCTGGGAAGCACTGCGTTCAGCCATAGATGCAGGTATGTATTTACACATCGGGATGCGCTTCAGAAGTCTAAATGGCAGCATCTGTTCCACTCGACACATCAAGAATTCTGGGAAGTCCAAACAAAAGCAGCCACCCAGACCAACTAGATCGAAGTCAAGGATACATTGAAGTTACATTGAAGGTGATAACACATCAATCCAATTGTCCCCCAAAACAAGGACAGAAGGTGCCTGTATAAGCAAGTGTGTTAAAAAATGATAAGCTTAGAGTCATATCTACAAATGCTCGCAGTTTAGGGAATAAGATCCATGAACTTGTGGCAATAATGGCAACTGATAATGTAGATTTAGTCGCTGTTACTGAGACATGGTATAATGAGAAAAATGACTGGGACATAGCAATACCAGGGTACTCTTTATATCGAAAAGACAGGGAAGGCAAGAAAGGGGGAGGGGTGGCCCTATATGTGAAGGATAGCATAAAATCTAGCCTAATAAAAGTTAGTGAGGTGAACATGGAGTCCGTTTGGGTTACGTTAGAATTTGGTAATCACACAGTTACTCGTGTAGGTGTGATTTATAGGCCCCCAGGACAAATTGAAGAGTTAGATAATCTACTAGTTGAGGAAATTGCTAAAATGACAATGAAGGGGGAAGTTATCACCATGGGTGACTTTAATCTTCCTGATGTGAACTGGAAAACCAAAATAGCGGCTTGTGCCAGGAGCACACATATTCTAAACTCCCTACTGGGATTGTCTTTAAAACAAGTAGTTGAGGAGCCAACTTGTAAAGAGGCCATACTAGATTTAGTGTTAACAAATGGATATTTGGTATCAAATATTACTGTAGGTGAAAGTTTAGGATCCAGTGATCATCAGTCAGTGTGGTTTAATATAAGAACAGTGACTGAGTCACACCACACAAAAACAAAAGTTTTAGACTTTAGAAAAACAGACTTTTCTAAAATTAGAATATGGGTAGAGGAGTCATTATCAGACTGGAGCAGTTTAAATGGAGTCCAAGAGAAATTAGATTATTTAAAAGTTGCACTGCTGAAGGCAACAGAAAATTGCATTAGGCTTGTCAGTAAAAGCAAAAAATTCAAGAAACCACTGTGGTACTCTGCAGATGTGGCCAAAATAGTAAAAAACTAAAAGTTAGCATTTAGTAATTATAAAAAAAACAGAGTGAGGAAGACAGAATGATCTATAAGATTAGGCAGAAAGAGGCTAAGCAAGTTATAAGAGCTTCCAAATCACACACAGAAGAGAAAATAGCTCAGTCAGTAGAAAAGGGGGACAAAACTTAAGTTAGATACATAAATGAGAAAAGAAAAGTAAAACAAGGATTAGTTAGATTAAAAACAAAAGAAGGAAGGTATGTAGAAGAGGATAAAGGTCTAGCTGACTGCCTCAATTAATATTTTTGTTCGGTATTTACAGATGAAAATTAAGGAAAGGGACCTCAGTTAAGAAAAAGAATAAATGAGTCATTTATCACACAAGGATTAGTTAGATTAAAAACAAAAGAAGGAAGGTATGTAGAAGAGGATAAAGGTCTAGCTGACTGCCTCAATTAATATTTTTGTTTGGTATTTACAGATGAAAGTTAAGAAAAAGGATAAATGAGTCATTTATTACACAGAGGAAGAGGTTCTATTTCAACTCCCAAAAGTAAATACAAATAAGTCAATGGTACCTGATCGAACACACCCAAAGCTATTAAAAGAGCTTAGTGGTGTACTAGCAAAACCATTAACAGATTTATTTAACCAATCATTGTTAACAGGAGTAGTCCCAGAAGATTGGAAGTTAGCGAATGTTGTGCCCATTCTCTTGCATTGAGAGCTCCTTTGACCGCATGTAGTGGGTTCACAGAAACAGCTTCCAAATGTGAATGCCACACCTGGAATCAACTCCAGACCTATACCTGCTTTATTGATTAATGGACAAGTGTGGACTATTTCTTAAACAGCTTTTGAGTCAATTGTCCAATTACTTGTGGTCCCTTGAAAAAGAGGGGGGCTACATATTAAAGAGCTGTAATTCCTAAATCCTTCCTCCAATTTGGATGTGAATACCCTCCAATTAAAGCTGAGACAGCACTTTAAGCCCATATACTTAACTGTAATATATTTTGGTAACCAGCTGAAATAACAAAAACTTGTTCCAGTGTCCAAATATTCCCAGACCTACTTGTACATTAACGTTTATATAGTGCCTACAAATTCCGCAGCGCTGTACAATCGCTACACATCCAATAAGTCCCATTATGGAATATAGAGTTAATTCTTTGGCTGCAACTCTATCCATCAGATAGGATGATTACAATAGCTGTATACACAAATAGTAGTCATATAAAGGCTACCACCAGCTTATTCAGTGTACAGCTGACAATTTTGTAAACCAGGCCCTGTGCATGGATCTTTTGAGCTGCGACCATGCACGATTGGCTTTGACTCTGAACTGCAGGGATCAGAGAGATCTCCATCCAAATTGCTGCAATAATTAGCCACTCTGGGAAGGGAGATATTACCATTCTGGCTGAAAATCTTTACCTATGCGGCTATTGTTTCAATACAACTTTAAAAAGACATTTATTTTTATTTTTTTTATAGAATTTTGTCATGTCTTTGAATTCAGTGCTTTATTGAGTATGTGCTTTCACCTGGGTTTCTTGACTCTTTCGAAGTGTAAGGAAGACATTACACATGGTTGATATAGCTCCTCTAGGTTTACTAGCATATTTCCATCTTCCCTTAAGTTCTTCTTGGTATTGCTAACTTACACAGTTCTACATGCTACAGCAACACCTAGATGGTACAGAATTACTTCTAATTATTGCAAAATGTCTATTTTCAAATGTGTATATTTCCAAAATATTAACTATTACTTTTCATTTGCAAGCATTATGTTATAGGGTTAAACTGGGAGGAAAAAAAGGCTTCATTTACATAAGGGTTACTCCAAGCACCATGACCACTTCAGTGGTTAAAAGTGGTCACTGTGCCAGCAGCCTGTATGTGCAGCGTCACAGTATGAAACTGTGAGACATTTAGGTTACCTCCTGGAGGTGTAACTCCACAGCTTACAGCATTATTAAACTGCCTGAAACAATATAAAGTGTAAATTAAAAAAGCTAAATCTATCAATTTTACATAATAAAGGATACAGACAGTGCCGACCAAGATCCCACACATGTTGCTGAAGACTGGAGCATGTGGTATGAAGAGGGCTGGGAAGAGAAATAACCCAGGCAGCACTTTAATGGGAACCATGAACCCCAAAACAGGGATGCGTCGAAGTCTGGTCTTTGTGCAGAAGATAGTCACCATGCAAAAGGCCATAGCTGTGAATCCTTGAACTCTGCCATCACCCACAGGCAAGCTGAGACCTGTAGATGTAATGGCCAGATACAGCGTCCCCACACACACTGAAAACAAAGGTGTGAGGAGGCAGAACTTTACAGTGCCAAAGCTCTCCTCAAAACCTGCACCAAAATACCAAATGGTCAGGCAGCTGCATCCCCATGATCGCAGATCATCGTGGAAATATATATATGTGATCAACCTGTAGACTGAAAACAAAAGCCATATTAAAGAAGTAAAAAACAAAGACAAACAAACAATATACTGATAAGGTCCACAGAGAATTAGGCAAAATTACCACATTAGGAACTCAAAAATAATTTCTTTATTTATTAATAACACACCAGGAAATCGTTGTGCCAAAATAGTCATGCTGGAAAAAGGATAGTGTTGAATATTTTTTTTTTATTTTTTATTTCAAATTGCAAACTTTGTACTGCATTGAAATGGTTATGGTGCCTGGAGATACCTGGGTCTGTCCCATTGTTCAACGTTAAACCATCTTTGAACAGTTTAAGACTTAATGAGGGTATAACGACACACACACAACCTGGCACCTCTCCACTGCTAGGGGTGATGCTCCACGTAGCTAGAGAAGCAATGGGTGGCAGTAAAGGCTCAGAGCTTTCGCTATAGCGACACTCTCAGCATATGAATATTGTCCCAACTTGGTCTGAGTTGGTATGACTGGAAGCAGCACAGGAACCTATCAGAGACTGGTTAGTCCAACAGTACCAAGGGACTCCGGCACTGTAGTGGTTACAGTGCTTTTTGGAGGTCTTTAAAAGATTTACCGAATGGCTCTACGCACAGCCAGGGCACACATTGCAAATAAGAAGGAAAAACAAAAACATTGTTCAATTTCTCCACTTCTGTTTATTCTCTCTACTACTGTTAGGAGCAAAAGGGCTTGACAAATTATTAACATGAAGTTAAATGGCACTGCACTGTCTCGGGACTTTGCCGAGTTCACAAAGTCCCTTGACAGTGACATCGCTGCTGGAGATCCTGCGGCTGCAGGGGGCAGGTAAAGGTAAGATTACTTACCTGAACCTGTCCCTCGTGGGCCCCGCCATCTTTCTTGCGCTGCTCCTCTTAGTGCCAGGAGCCAACGTCACTGCTGTACATGCACGAGAGTACAGCTCTGAGGTCTGTGGGAAATCCTCCATAGACACAGCCAATTCCCTGCAGCCGTCACTGGTAACATCAGTCGAGATTGACTCTTAGACTCCTCCTTGATTCTAAGAAAGTCAGGCAGAGGAAAAATACAGAGACAAAGTCCCTACTACTTTGTCTCAGTAGATCTCTTGACAGGAATTTCTGTGATATTGTGTATGATATCTATGAATGTGGGTTGTGTATGGGACAAACTTTTGTGCACCTAGATTATAGATTACATTGTGTGTTTGATGTTGTATGTAAGTGTGGGACTGTTTAGGGTATTGCATGTGAGTGGCTACTTGTGGGGTTGCATGTCTGTATGTTGATTGTCCGTGGTGTTGTGTTTGTGGGGACGTGTGTTTGTGTGTGTGCTGTTTGTATGAGAGGGAGGGTTCTTCTGCAGCTCTGTGTATATACACAGGAGTGGGGGTGGCTTCCCTGGTGTTCAGTGGGGACTGGCTGACCAGGTACAGTTCAAGGACAGGAACTGCAATAGCTGTTGAGGGCTGCTCTACTCCAGTACGAATTCCCGTTCAAAAATGCGGACAGAAAGTGATATGAGATCACTTCCTCTAATTTCTGCAATGCCTAAATTGAGTATTGTCCCTCACCACCTCTAATCACAACTCGGGTTGCACTTGCAAATATCTGAAATCCTTCTGGGACGCCTGATAGACCACAGCCAGTTTGGCTCTGGCAGTCTTGAATGCTGTGAAAAGTGCCATAGGTTGCTGACCCCTGCTCTATATGATAAGCGTTACTGGCACTGACATACATACCACGGTAGGTGGGGTACCCGCTGCCATGTTTTGCGGCCGCAGCCTGTGCGGCAATCCGCCGTGGCCGCACATGAAGGGGCCCATGCTGTTAGGGCCACCTAATGAATATGGATTTTAAGGGGGCCCGGTCAGCGCTGCGACCGGGCCCCCTGTGATGACATCAGAGTTGGGAGGAAGTGACTGCCCTGGTCACTCCTCCCAGCTATCAGAGAGCCGTGCGGGAGGGAGTCAGAGTGGGAACTCTGACTCCCATTAGGCTGAGCCCCCAGTGAAAGTCACCCTCCTGCAAAAGGTAGGAAGCAGGAGGGTGACAAACATTTTGTATATGTGTGTGTCTCTGTATATATATATATATATATATATATATATATATATATATATATATATGTATGTATGTATGTGTCTGTCTATACACAGGATGACTAAACAAAGTTAAAAAAATAAAATAAAATTATATATATATATATATATATATATATATATATATATATATATATATATATATATATGTGTGTGTGTGTGTGACATTTCTTCTTTAAATATAAGTGAAAAGAAATGACTGCACATATCTAGTTTGGGTACCACAAAGACTTCCTACTGACCATACATGGCTAAGGAGCAGAGGACTGACCCTGCCACTGCCTACGAAATGAACTGCATTTCCCAGGATGCTCCGGTTCTGTTAACTAAGCATTTAGGGAATTGTAGTCACATAACTATTCTACTTTATGCTGGCAGGATCCTACGTGTAAAGCACAGTACCTGTGAAGCTCTCCAGCACACCGGCCTCCAAATCATATCTGACCCCCACATCTTCCCCTCGGACCACCCTCAGCAGAGTCGGGCCTGAAATCACCGAAGATAGCAAAATAGTCAGAGCTGCCGCGGTGGTGAACCTAATTTGAGGAAAAAACGAAACAAGGCTTTTCCACCAGGGTTTCTTCTGCTCCCATGCCTCCTCCATGGCTCCCCGTACGGCCTGTTCTCCACGTTCGGGTTCACTTCCGCGTTCCATTTGCGTTCCACGATTCCATGTTGACCAGGGTTTTCATAGTGATGATCGCCTTACTTTCCCTAAATTGTCAGAAACGCGCACCTGCTCACATGGCCTGGGCAGGACTTCCGTAAACAGAAAATAGGGGTTGAGTTTGCCAGTTATTTTAAGTACTTCCTTATATACACACATAAACACTTTTTTTGCAATTTCCCAGCAAATTAAAAAATTTAAAATGTGTAAGGATTGATTTTGAAGTCACTGTGGACAGATATAAACAAGCATTGTAGGTGGCCATAACCTTTTAAACTGATACTCTAGGCACCATAACCCCTACAGCTTATCTGTATATTTAGTGCAACATGGTGTAGTCACAGGTAGATCTGACAGCTTTAACAGTTCTGCAATGGAGAGAGGGAAATAAGTGGAGTTAGGGGACACAGGGCAATGATTAATTAGCATCTCTGGTGTATATCTCCTAAGTGTCCCTATGTAGGAGACTAAGTAGGGACACTTGGGAGGTGTGCACCAGTGATGCTAATTAAGAGACGTACATCCCTGGTTTGTAGGAACTCTCTATTCTTGTTGTGTCTGAGTGTATAACAGAGCAATAGTACGTACAGTAATGTTTCTTTAAACTACAATAATTGTATAACATGACAGGAGGCTTCGTATTTGCTTAAGTCTCTCTTTACTAGAACTCCACAGCAGCACAGAAAAACAACCAATCAAAACAAAATTAGGTACTATAAAACTCCCCTCCCCATGCATCATTGCCTCTTTCTTTGCTGCTCTGCAGTCAGTACGGGTCAGAGTACCACTGCCTCCTGCTTCTAGTTGGTAGCTTTGGGTTTTTATTATGATTTATTTATGATTTTTATTAATTATGCTTAGTTTTTTAAGATTACTGTGCCTTTTGGCTCTTCTTTGCTTCCCCTGGTTTTCTTTGGGGATATTTTATTTTACATTGTAGTGGTTTCATGGGGGTTCCTGGAGATACCTATTCAGTTCACCCTCCCCCCCCCCCGCCCCCCCCAGTTTATATCAAAGATTACTGTGAGTTTCAATGACAGTGTATATCACAGATTGCTGTGAGTTTTGCCGCCAGTGTATATCACAGATTGCTGTGAGTTTTGCTGACAGTGTATATCACAGATTGCTGTGAGTTTTGCCGCCAGTGTATATCACAGATTGCTGTGAGTTTTGCTGACAGTGTATATCACAGATTGCTGAGTTTTGCCGCCAGTGTATATCACAGATTGCTGTGAGTTTGGCTGACAGTGTATATCACAGATTGCTGTGAGTTTGGCTGACAGTGTATATCACAGATTGCTGTGAGTTACAGGTATATATGATACTCAGTTATACAGGCTCTGTACAGGGTGTATACAGAGCCAGTTGGCTAGTTAGCTCTAGGATTGATGTGCTTCACTGTGTGTGTGTGTGTGTGTGTGTGTGTGTGTGTGTGTGTGTATATATGTGTGTATATATATATATATATATATATATATATATATATATATATATATATATATATAATTTTTTTAATTTTTTTTTTCTGGTCAAGCTATGGAGTCTAAGATGAGACTACTTTGGTATGAATTCACTGTCCATGGCATATGTTAAAAGCTAAGCAGACCTGGCTCTGGCTCAGACTGGTATGGGAGCCCAGTCTATGCTGATACTATTCTATTTTATCAGGTTCTATGGGGAGATTCATTGAGTTGACAATTGTTTAGCCCTACTCCTGAAAGAGACCATTGGTACATTACCCTTCAGGTGGTGTGATGATGATCTATAACAAGATAAGAGTCTCAAACAGATCTGTATGTACATGTGCATACGAATTCAGTTTAAGGAATGTATCGCTCAGTATATCATGATTTTTATGGACACTATAAGCACTGGAACAACTTCAGCTTATACCCAATACAGCTGGAATACCACTATTTTACCTGCTGGGCATTTAGGGACTGCTAGTCCCAGTTAAGGTTTATTCACACAGTATTACGCTGTCTAAAAGGGTTGATGTCTTGGGGTCCTAGGTCACAGGATACCCTGAGGATTTACAGATATTTAGGGGACTCTGCCCCAACTCAGGGGTTCCCATTACTCATATAATACGCAACCCAGTATTGGCCTGCTCTGTCTGTGCCCCTATGATTGGCCTACTATGTCTGTGCCCTTCTGTCTGACCTGCTCTACCTGTGCCCATCGTTGGCCTGATCTATCTGTGCCCGAACCCCCTTTTGGCCACAGGCCTGGGGGAATATCACTGAGGAAAGCTCAGTACCCACTGTTGACATGGAGATAGGTGGGTGTCCAGACAAGCACTGCTGCCATACTATCCAAGAGGACACCAGGATACGGACACCTAAATATGATTGGAAGGATGAAGGCCCTACAGCTCATGCCCTGAGGGGCAAAGCTTTTATGAAGATTCCCGGGCACGCAACCACGGTTTACACCAGCCCGGCGGCGGCACATCTCCAAGGGGAATCTCGCACAAGCAGGGACCAGTGCTCAGACACCAACAGGGGAGCACGGTTTCCTTGCCTTCAGCAACTAACCTTTTAGCTCCTGGCCCTTTCAGTTGGGTTTACTTGACTTGCTTTTCCGATCTGCTATTCACCTTCTCTCCAAGGTACGTATTTGCCTTTTATCTAAATTTTATGTTGTTTCTTTGTTTTCGTGCCTTCCTATTGCTCGGGTCGTCTAGAGACCTGACTTGACCTCCTCCGACCTTTCGGGCTCTCGAGGATTGCGGAGAACGTCTTCAGCTTTCCTCAGGCTACCGATGGTCATCCTGGATCTCGCGCGGGCGGGATCCGGGTGGTCCGTTGGTAGTTTCTATCATGGTTTCCGAAGGTTGCATTTTCTCATCATTGCTTTCTGTTATTAAGCAAGGACACGGCCTGAGGTTGTATACTATTCCATCTACCATCGGTCTGGTTTATTACCAGTTGATTCCATCTCTCAAGTGAGAGATTCAGAGAGAGGTCTCGTGGTCAGAGAGTGACCCACATCAGGATCTCAGTCTTATGCTGATATTAGTAAATAGTGTACCCCGCAGTTGGTCACCCTGAGTCTCTACTGGACTCTAGTTTGGATTACAAGAGGGTGCGGCCCTCCATCGCCTCGGCCTGAGACTGATATTTTTATTTTCACGAGTAGAGAGTGAACCCATCTCATAGACTGAACCGGACACTGATTCATTAATAGAGGGCGCGGCCCTCCCTCAACCTCAGCCCGTTACTGAGCTGGATACAGAGGACATGTCTTGAGTGGCACATTCGCATAGAGTGAACCGGACACGTATGTAGTCTCTAATGTTTGGTTATTAATGGTGTAGAATATTGCATATTCTATGTTTCTATTGATTATATATGGATGTGTGGATTGACATAAGTAACAGATGGTATCAATAAGTCACAAGGCTTTCTTTGTCCGAGAGCTCTGGAATGTGGATTCGGGGGTTTTGTCTTTATATGGCTAGAGTTATATGCTGACGTTAGTATTAGCACTTCTATATAGTAACAGAGGGACACGAGGTCTCTCAGTCCTAGTCTCGGTCTTGGCTTGGCTCTGTACAACGATGTAACTCTCCCATCAGAAGTCCAGCAATTACCATCTGCTGTTGAATGTCCATTATCCTGTAACATCATTTGTTGTTTTATGTATCCGTAACTAAGAATAAACCTGAAGAAACCGTAAGTCAGATTGTGTATTACTACTTTTCAATAATATAGACATATATTATTGTGGCGAGCATTTGGCCCAAGAATATATATACAAAAGACGTATATATATCAATAAACTGAAGACAAGAAGAAATATCTATATATATAATCAATCCAAGACTTATTCAACTATAGAAAAACACAGCCAGTTATTACAAATGGGTGCGGCTCGCTCATGCTATCAGCCGTACGTTGACACGGAGTTCGGTCACATTATTAGAGAGTGCGGCTCTCTCATACACTCAACGCACTACAGTGCCGTCCATTCGTTCATCACACAGTCTTGTACCTGTACAGGACAACGATGACTGCATAGAGGGACGTCCCTCCTGCATTCAATTAGATCTAATGACCGTGCTACCGATTTCGTTATAGAGGGCTGCCTGATCGTGCCGGGTATACATGTTTAGACTGGATCCCTCTATTTCACCTCCTATAATGGATCTACTGGATCCGGACCACTCTATCCCACGTGAGAAATACTCAGAGGTATTACTGGGGAGATTCCCTGCTTATTTACACACCCTCCTGGAGACGGTACGGCTAACGGATGAGCCCCAGTTGTTACAAGAGTGCAGGTTTTGGTATAATCTGCGCTATATCAAACAGGCAATTGCACTGTTTAAGATATTCAGACTATTGCGAACAAACTGCGCAGACAGGTTTTTCCCATGTCAAGGTGACATGAGATCCTGAGACCTTCATAGAGCAAACGGGCACTACCTTGCTCGGGTAACAAGACTAGGGAAGGCCCACAACCCAGTCTGCAGATACACCGTACGCATGGATCATATGGAAAGACCGGAATCCTCGGTCGACTCGGGTTCTCTGGTCATTACAATATTGGGATGAGATGACAGGACTGCCCCTACTCCTCTGAGCACATATCTGGAGAACAGGGTTCGGATATGGAGGGCCCTCCTTCTATACTCAATATCCCTCACTGGAACCGTCTTGGTTTGGGTTCTCGCTAACCCACCCACATTGAACTACCATCAAGGAGACCTACTGTGGATTCTATGGAGGAACCCTGTGTGTCCCCAGCTCCTACACGGACATCACGAGTTGGGACACAACCTACCGCTGGAGTACTGCTCAGGATGTGTAACAGGCTCGGATATGGCTGCCGACGTTCTCAAACGGGACAACACCTGCTTCGGACGGTTTGAGCTAGACCCTTGTTTTTTCATTATATCTGCTCTCTGGAGTCACCTGTCGTGACTTTACGTCTTGTCTGCGTATTAGAGAACGCTATGTGTTCGCTGGACTCCAAGCGAAGAAGGGAGGTATCCCTCTATAGGGAGGCCTTGACTTCAGTTCTCAAATTCACATTCTTGGGTCCCTTGACCCAGGGCCTACTCTGGGAGTTACGTGCCCGGACAGTCAGGGGTACAGGGACCTAGGGGTCTCACTATATTATACCCTAGATCGTAGGTGGTGTGTAGACCAGGAACCCCTACACGAATTTTGACAGGTCGGGCATGGAACAGGATTGTACAAACGGGTAATCGGATTATTTCACTCTCTCACTACCACATCTTCTTTGTTATACAGGTCCCAATCACTATTGGATCCGGACATCTTATCACTCTTAGACGATGTCATCTCTGGATGGAAATATCAACCCCGGGTTACGTTCCTATCCTTTTGAATATTTCTGGGATTCACAATCCCCAGAATAATCAACCACCGTTTCACCACACAAGTTCAGTTTGGGACCTTGATTGGACGTCCTTTGGGAGTCTTTTCTCTGCCGCGGATTACACAGTCCATTTGGATTACAGGAACCACTTAGGATACGGCTAGTTTTGACCACACTCTTGCCTGCATAATAAATGTATTCTCGGATGAGACAACTCACCGGGTAGGTCATGAGGGAACGAAAAGACCCTACTCGGTTCTATTACGGCTCATGGACCGGCTGCTAGGTAACCGGTCGCAACCCCATGTACAATGGATCCATCCGCGGATGGTGTTATTCCGTATTTAGGATGCTTCGTCAGCTGGCATCTTCATCGATCCGTCTACTGTCACTTCTCGCAGTTGGAAGGTCCATTTAGGGTTGCTCTAATGCACCAGTGAAACAAACAGCGTTGAATTTGTTGTCTGAGCGTTAAAACCGCAAATACGAAGCCTCCTGTCATGTTATAAAATTGTAGATTATGCTAGCTTTAGTGTACCTATAATCTTAATTTTATTAATGACCGGAGGCGAGTATTTCCCGCCCATTCTTATCCCTCCCTTGTTTAATTTTATAATTTGAGTTCATCAGATACGTATGTAACTCTGCTTGTTGTCTCTGCTACCTGTTACTTGTTCTTATGTCTGTTTTTCATAAGTCGGGTTGGGAGCTATGCAGACTACGGTAATTTTGGTTGCTACGTTGGGTACCTACACGTTTGTTCAGGGTACATTTCATTGGCTAACCAACCTGTTTGATTCTGTTTTTTTTCTCTCGTTTCAGTTTACAGTCCATCAACACTATCTGGTTCGGCAGTTCTTCTCGGATGGTGGACATTGTCGTGTTCATTATATCTAGGACTTTGTTTCTTCCCCATTATATTTTCTGCCTTTTGTTCTGTTTTGTCGCAGCTTGAAAGAGGAAATGATGCATGGGGAGGGGAGTTTTATAGTACCTAACTTTTTTTTCTGATTGGTTGTTTCTGTGCTGCTGTGGAGTTCTAGTAAAGAGAGACTTAAGCAAATACTCGCCTCCTGTCGTTAATAAAATTAAGATTATAGGTACGCTAAAGCAAGCATAATCTACAATTATAATTAGAGCTCAGTGTCTGTAAATAAGATACATCATTCTTATTCTATATTACATTTTAGTTCAAGACATTCGTATTAGTACATCACCTAAAATTTCACAGAATAGCCCTGCTCTTGGTCACATGCCCACTCACACCCCTGAAATAATAGAACCCCTGTTTTGTCCATTGGAAATGTTGGGAGGAATGGTGTTGTCATATCTGCTCATAAAAGGAATGTGTCTGATGTGCATACAGATACAATGAGTGCTGGGAAGTATTTCATAGGGCTTGCAATTACCTATAATTAATCACTTTCTAACATATTTTCGCACTGCACTCTGTCCCAAGCCTCTCCCCAAACCTGTGTAACAGAGCCACTTTGTCTGGTCACTGGGAATAATGAATTTCTGTAAACCTTCTGGTGTGGCAATTTAGCCAATGACCCTTACAATGCAGAAAGCTGACACAAGATTTCTTGAAATGGCTGTGGTGTGTTGTTGCAGCTTAGCCCTGTTATAAATTAGTAGTGGAATGCTATGTAAAACTCGTCTTTTTTGTGTGCAATACAAATAATTTAAAATGCATACTCCGTAACATATCAATGTGTTTGATGAACAAATAACAAAAACCCAGTACTTACGACACTCGCTCATACACTACTCATACATTACTAAATTAACATTAATATAACCTGTAATGGAAACCTGTGTTACCTTGGTACTTGGAGAGGAATGCAGGCCAGTCTCCTTCCCACTGACTATGGGCCCTGGCCTGGATTGGGGTTCTGTTTTGGGTAGGCAGTTACACAGGGGCCATTCGGTCTACTTTCCCCCCCCGTTTGGGTTTGCATGGTTATCCATGTTTTAATAGGGGATTCTTTCAGGCTCTCCATTGTCCTCTGTTGGTAGAAATTGAAAAATGCATTGTTGGTATAATCACAATATGCAAATTAGGATATTGTAAAAACTGATCAGTTTCATACGTATATCTGTGCTTTTCCATAGTCTGACTGTATTGTATATTTGAATCAATATTGTATTTGGTGTTTTTCAAGTTATGTGTGCTTGTATATATTTTTTTATGGATTTCACCACATTCCTAAAGGGACATTATAGTCACCAGAACTCCAGTTTACTGTATTTGCTCTGGTGAGTATAAACATTCCCTTCAGGCTTTTTTCAGAGAAAATGCAATGTTTACATTGCAACCTAGGGATACCTCCACTAGCTGCTCTTCAGATTGCTGCGCAGCACTGCCATTCAGTATCTCAACTCTGAACTTTCCTCATAGAAATGCACTGATTCAATGCATCTCTATTAGGAGCTGCTGATTGGCCAGGGCTTTGTTTGACTTGAGCTGGCTCTGCCCCGATCTGCCTCATTGACAGTTTCAGCCAATCCTAAGGCATAGCATTGTGATTGGATTTTGATCAACACTTCTGATGATGTCAGCCAAGCAGGCAGATCAGGGGAATAGCCAGCAGCAGCAGACTGGAGAAAAGGTAAGATTATACTATATTTACGAAGTGCAAGGGGCCAGATGGTGGTTTTAACACTATAGGGTCAGGAATAAGTTAGTGTTCCTGACCTTATAGTGATCCTTTAAGGACAAGTTTGCTATGGCTAGCCCCTATTCTAATGGAAGTATAGCATTATTAATTGTGTGTGTGTGTGTGTGTGTGTGTGTGTGTGTATATATATACATATATATATATATTAGTGTATTTTTTTTTATATATATTATCAAGATACAGTTAGCGTAAAATTACGTGTGTGTGTTTTTTCTTCTTTTAAATATAGTATTGCTGTCTCCAGCGTGCAGATGACAGACATAAAATATGCACATAATTGACATTAGGCAGTCTGTAACAGAGTTCTGGGCTGCCTAATAGATAAGGTGGTGAAGCACTCTAGGTGATGACTGGTCCTGGATCACCAGCACCCTAGCAGGAGCACTGTGAAAGAGGGATCTGCAATCCCCCACAGTAGAATTAAAATACACTCTACAAGTGTCAAGACTTCACCCTGCCCAACACTTACCTGCTCCAGCTGCCCCTCGGCAGAAAATACACAGGTCGCGTCTACTGATGCTGAGAAGGGGAGACAGTTAAGCAATGCTGAGGCTGCATCTAGTCATTCAGCCTAAGCGAATGCTCACACACAATGGTAGAACTAGACGTGCACCTACTGAGCCCGACGTTCCAAAAAGGGAAAGTACCAAGGAGGCAAGTAGGACACCTAAGGGGGTGTGTCCCTTCTCTCTTATTTAAGCTTACTGATACCTGTGCTCACTATTTCGGTTAAACTAATTATCTCATAGACACAGAAAGAAGGACACACAAAAACTCAGAAAATACAAATAACTTGGTGAACCACCCCACATGTAATATATCCCCAAAAAGGTCTCTCTGGGGTGCCCATTCTCTCCAAAAAGTGCCCCGATCGGACATGGATAGCCCAAATTATATGGAAGTCAAAAGTAGCTTCCAATCCGGTGCAGAGTTCCAGAGTGCTGGGTAGAGTTTCCCAGTCACATTAAAGCATGGATCTCTATGAATACATAGAGCTTTCCCAAGTCCTAGGTTTTATTTGATGCCTCTCCACCCTCCATAAAGTGCTCTGATTGAATGTCCAGGGAAAATTACAGTTTTAGCGGACCACGGGACTCTTGCTATCCGATTTAGAGTTCCAGGGTGACCATGACGCTGCGTCCCTTCTGGCGGAAGATAGATGGTTCTGGAAAGACAAGAAGGGGTGCGAGGCTGGGAGACATGGGATGGAGGGTTAGTACATAGTGATATAGTCTTTTTTGTGTAGGTGAAAGGTCGGGAAGTCCTGTATCCTGGTTGGGTTACCAGAGGGGCCCCCTTGACCTCATTCTGGTAGACACGGCTTGACCCTTTTCAAGTCAACTTGGAGATGTCTGGGCATTCTCCGTCCTAGGTTGCAGGCTCAGTCTGCCGAGACAAGCCATCAGCATTCCCATTTTGCTTATGGGGTCAATAATAAATTGTAAAATCGTACAGTTGCAGGATTAGGCTCCACCGCAGCAACTGTGCGTTGTCTCTGGCGACCTGGTTTAGCCATTCCCACAGGTTGTGGTCGGTGATAATGGTGAATGAGCATCTATTGAGGTAGAGGGTAAGCTTCTTCATTGCTCTGACTAGGGCCAAACACTCCTTCTCTACCGCAACATAGCAAACTTCCCGGGGTAGGAGCTTCCTGCTGATGTAGGCTGCAGGGTATTCTCCTCCATCTTCCCTGACCTGGCTTCGAATAGCACCCAGCCATAAATGGAGGCATCTGTGTGGACAATGAAACATGTGTTAGGATCTGGAAGCAGCCAGGAT